AATAAAAAATTAAAGCACAATACAAACAGTGGAATATTATATGTCGTAGATTTACAGTATATCTAATTTTATCAATTATCATATGACAATTAAATAATTTTTACCAATATAGCGAATCATATATTTTACAAATAGCTATTAAATATTGATAAGGACATCAGAAAATATCTTTTAAAGTCGTGTAAATAATATGAAGATTATTTCTTAACCCTTTGACGCCCTACTTTTTATTAATTAAAAAAAAAAATTTTTTTATAAATTATTCATTTATACACTCCATAGATGCCTAATATTTATTTCAACTTTTATTTTTAAATATACAGTTAAAAAAAATGATGTAAAAAAATGATGATGCCAAATCTAATTATCTAGCTTTTGTGTAATAAAAAAATAAAAATATTTATTTATTATGAAAATGTCGAAAACAATTTCTAAATTGAGTAAAACATAAATATATATTACATTTTCCACATTTTGTTCTTGAGTATGCATTTATACATAACTTGCACCTTTGCCTAGTTTTGCAGGAATCTGGCCAATGACCTATGTTATCATATCTGATATCAGATATAGGAGCCATTATAGGAGAAATTTTTTTTTAATCGGTTTATTTAAAAGCCTCCCTGATTTTCTTTTACTAGTTTTTCCTGCTGATAACAATGCTTTAACAATATGTGTTTTAAATTGTATAAGTTTAATGATTTTATTCTCCTTTTCATGGCATATTTGCCGTTTATACAAAAGTCATGAATTTACTACACACATATCTATGAGATGAAAAATAATTCTTAGAATTTTTTTCCTTTGATATCTACTCTATTTTGTGAGGCTTCGATTTTATATATTGTTTTAAAGAACTCCGCCCTTTGAACTGGATGATTAATTCATCAACACATACTCTTTCCTTCATCTCTAATTTTTGCATATTATTTTGAATCTCTTTAATAAATTGCCTAATTTTAAAACATTTATCATATCCATCTTGATTTCTTGGGATAAGTTGAGAATTATCATTAAAATGAAATATTTTCGCAATATTTGGAACCTGGTTCGAGACATAGTTTCCGGAACCTGAGGGAACGCTAATTCTGCAGACCAATACTGTCTATATGAAGGAACTTTGACCAAAGAAGAAAAAAAATGTATGCCTATAAATTGTTCTAATTCATTTATATCTAGATTTAGCGATCGATTATTTGCTGAAAACTGTATAAATTACTTTGTTCACATATATTATTTAGTATATTATTTGAAATAAATAATTTGAAGTATTGATACGGAGTTAATATATTGGTTGAAGTGGAAAATTTATTAGCATAATTTGTGTCCAATTGATGTATATCACCTACTCTCCGTTTCATATTATTTTGAATGATAATGTTATCATTAATTTCTCTATCTTCTATCTCGATTTGAAGATTATTAGATATTGGAGTTGATGAAATTGAAGAGGAATCATCGTAGAAAGTATGCAAATTAAATTCCTCATGATCTGATTCATCGATATCAGCTTCCATCTCCCTCCACTATTAATAAATTATTTGGCATCTATAAATTATATAGAATCATTTTAAAAAATATAATAAATGTAAAATTATAATATGTCAGAAGATATAGGTCTTATGAACGCCAAATTCAAAAATGTATGGTCTGATTGGATTTAAAATACATTTTAAATCAAAATTTAATTATAACTATAGAAAACCATTATAAATATAAAACGAAAAAAAAATATTTAAAAGTTGTATTCTAAAATCCCATTGACTTATTTTGGCATCATGCACTTTGAGTTGATATAAAAAAGAGCATAGTCATTTTTAATAAAATAATTGATCATAATATTATACTCTTACCTTTAATAATTAATAAGAATTTTAGGAATAATATATATTTTCCACAGAATATGTTTTATTGTCGTTATAAAATCGTAAAATTCAGTAAAATGGGAAAAAAAATTATGTAAATATAATTGGTTCAAATTTAAAAACAAAAAAATATACGTTATTAATTTTAATAAAATGCGAAAGTATTTTTATTATATTTATATCATATGATGTTAAATTAAATCTATAGGCTTTTATAAAGTTAAAAAATATAATTATATTATATGATGTCAAAACAAATCATGAGACGTTAAAGGGTTAATATAAATTTTTATTTAACATAAATAGATGGCGTTAAATAATTGAATGCATTGCTATATTTATTATCAAGAGCATTGATTAGTAAATTTTGTTAAAATATTAACTATAATATATTCTCTAACTGTCAAATATTTCTGTAAAAGTGGAATTTTACCTAGTATTTTGTAACAAATTCTTATAATAGAGGAATATCAACTATATGTCTACTTACTTTTTATAAATAAATTTCTTATACTTGTTTGGAATAAATTTTTACCAAGCATTAATATATATATTGGGATTCGGAATCCGTGTGGATTCGGAATCTCTTGATTATTAATCCTTTACCAAGAGCGATATAAAAAATTTTAAAGTTCGATTTAACCGGAAATGTATCCCAAACTGTAAATTTCAAACAATTTTGCCATGAACTTTAGAACTAATTCTAATTTATATTTAATTTTTATATGGATTTTTCATATAAATTAAAAAATACTAAAATGTCTATAGCTGAAATTGGCTGAAATTGATTTTGCTTTCCCTTATCTACAAACTGGATAAGGGATGGCACATTTGTTTTAATTACTGGGCCCATGAATTATTTCATAGTCTTAATTTAATAGCGTCGCATATTAAACGGTTATTTGTTATTTTATTTAGGTTTCTTTTATCACCTAAGATCAGCGTCTACATGAGCGGGAGGGGTAGGAACAGTTTGCATCCTATTTTTTGAGGGGGTAGGGGGTAAGCTGCTTTAATGGGGGTAGGATAAATTTTTTGGGGGGTTTGAGAAGAAATAGAACGAAATTTATTTCTGTAAAAATTAATACTTTTATTATAGTATTATTATAATACAATTCATCGACCAAATCTATATATTGCAAACAATCATACACATTGTTTTCCAAATAAACTATCCTTTTAAATGTAATTTAAAAGGTTTAGATATTTCAGCAAGCTCATAATGCCATAATAATTAATTTATTGTAAATAATGGAGGTAATTGAATTTATTATCTAAAAAATATATTCTTTATATTCACAAAATATCGATAGTTGGTAGTAGAGATAGATTAATTTAAGTTATCCTTTATAAATTCTTTGAAAAGAGTATCAATAAATAAATAGGTGAAAATAATGATAAAGAGGCGGGATTTTTTTATGGTAGTGGGCAAAGGTTTTTAAAGGGGGTTTGCATCCAGTGAAAATCCTGTCTAGACGCTACCTAAGATATATTTTAAGGGTTTGTGATCCGTGTCCAAAATAAAATATCTTCCATAAATATATTGTTGGAATTTTAGCGAACATGATCGTCGAAGCTTTCCCAGCCGCCGAAAGTTCCTCGATGGGTAAGCAATCGGTTTCTCCTGGCCAATATGAAATTGGTGAGCAATAAAAGCTCCTAGACTATCTTCGAAAGCTTCACAAGTAAGATAGAAATCGGTTGAATAAGGAATTGTTGTATCCTATTTTGATAATATATATTTTTTAACTTTATTAAATATTACATTTTTTGAACTGACCAAAACTAACTAACATTTTTACTCGTTAATAGGTGTAAAACCCAGTAGCGTCACTAGGGAAGAAGGGGAAGGGGGGGGGGGGGGGGGTCACAGGAACTTGAGCCAAACTTTTATTTTTAAACTACTAAAAAAAGGTTAATAATCTTTTTTTTAAAGTGGCGTCACTAGCTTTTACAATCTCAGCAGGGGGGGCTCAAAAATATTTTCTAAAATTATTTTAAAAATAACTTTTTTTTAAACTAGCATTATCCAAAATTACCTTTTTTAGCTAACATTATCGTAAATTACCTTGTTTTTTTAAGCTGACTTACCTTTTTTTTTAATGACATAAAAAAAATTAAAAATTTTGCAATTTTTTCATAGAGTTTGAGCCCTTGCGCCTACTCCTATAGTGAGGCTACTGAGTGACGCCACTAACATATACTTGAGTCTCCTTTTCCAAAAACGAAAGCACGATCATTAAATGCACGGGTTTTTTTTTCGTAATCGTTAATTAATTATATTAATTATATATTTTTTTTATTTTATAAATTATATAATTATAAATTAATTACTAGATTTAAATATTGCATGCTATTAAAGGTTTAGGATATTATTCTTATTTGTCAATTTTCTATAAGTATAGAGGTTAACATATATAATTGATTTTCAGTAAGAATATAATTAATCATTTAAAATTTTAGCAAAATACTTTAAATTTTATTATTAAAAATAAGATTTTTGATAGGTAAACAAATTTTATCTAAATTCTTAATTTAATAATTAGCAAACATCCAAAATTATTGAAGATTACCACACTTTTTTTTTCTCATTCAATGATAAATCCCAATAAAATGGCCCAAACAGCTTTTCAATGGCCGATTGATTATTAGCAAGAATTAGAGATTTAATTGTTTTTTCCTAGCCTAAATTTTGAAAGGATGTAAATAAAATTTTGCTGTGAGATTATAAATGGTAGTTTATTATAAGATTTTTTTATTAATATCACTATAGCATCGTGGTTTGGCAAATATCGCGGCCGAAGGCCGCGGAATTTTTTTAGAGGGTAGGGTAGATTTTTTAAGGGGGTTTGCCTCCAACACCTTTTCTGCGATTTAGATGCTGGGTATAGTCCTCTACATTCTTACAATTCTATCAATATTTTTAGATGGCATTGGTTTAAGTTTTAGATTTATTTTTAAAAATAAAATAAAAGAATACATAAGAAACAAATATAATAGGTTGATAATATTCTTTTGTATATTTTGGCTTACTTTAAATTTTTTTACATAGATATGACCACTTTATTCAGAAAATTTATATTTTTGGGCTTATAATTTCTACATTACAGAATTTTCAAAATTGTTTTTGTTGTGGTGTTATCGTGTTATGAAAGTGAATTCATACGTTTTATAAAAAGTTTGAGATGTACTATGCACATTTTTTTCTGCTATTGGTATCCCAAATAATTCAAATTTGTTCAGATCGTCTTACTCACATAGTAAAATTTATAATAATAAATCTTAAATTTTGTTTTGTATTCATTTAAGATTTAATATTCCTTATCCAATGCTATGTTAACTATTTTTAATTTCATTCAATAGATAACAGTTCAAAAATTATTTAAGATAATATGTTGTAATTTTTTTTAATAATTGAGTGAACTAATTTTAAAATAAAATAATACTAAAACTGAGCCCAATATTGAGCTACTAATGATGGTATAACTCATTTTTCACATTTCTACATTTTTTAACATAATTTAAATTAGAGGTCTGCAAATGACAAAATTTTTAAACCCTGACTAATTGGAATTTAGCTTTTGTCTCTCCTGGCTTAGCCTGATTTTAATAATTTTACTAAAGTTCAGCCTGGTTTTTTTAAATACAATGCCTAACCCCAAATATATGTAGTTGCTTACCAAAATAATCAACTATTTATAATGGAGAGTGATTAAATTAAAAACAATACACTTTCTGGATTATCACTTGTGTCAAATATCAGAATTCATCAATAATCTAGCCTAATAATTTTTTGTCCTGCTTACCCCAAATAAAATAAAATTCAGATGTTATCTAATGGGCTGGGAATTGCAGACCTCTAATTTGAATAATTATTTATAAGTTGAATGAGTTTTAATATATTTGTTAAAATTTAATTGTAGACAGATAGGTTATACATTATTGTTATAAATTTAACACAATATGACAAATTATAAAAATATATGGCTCATTTTTAGAAATAAAACATTAATTAATACTGCTTTAAATTATAATATGAATTTTAGAATTACATTATAAACATTCATATTATATTAAATATTGTGGGGCCATGGTGATTAATTAAAGTGTAACTTAAATGTTATATTTTTTAATTAAAACTTGTACTTCATGGTGAAAAAATTATGCCACATTTATGCTGAGTATTTATTATTTGCAAAATTTATATGATACTACTTGTAATATTTTAATTTGTTACAAATAAACCTGAAAAACCCCAACATTTAAATATTTAGCTGGACTAAAAAATTTGAGGACTATTATTTATATTAAGGATAAGATTAGTATAGCCTCAGCTGGCCCTTAAGTTTTTGAAAAGGTTTTTTATGGCCCATAAAATCATAGCATGGCTTGTAAAACAATTTTGTACAAGTTGTCTAGCCAGATAATTTTTATAAGTTACCTTGCCCAGTCTGAAATATTTTTTATAAAGGAAAAAGTCATAAATTTGCATACTAAATTTTTTTAATAGCAAAATTCTGAGACAATCATGCTGAGATCAATGATATTAAATATTATAACACTAGGTTGATAATGTATTCAGGGATTAACACTGCACACCTTTTTGATTATATTTGTTAAGTTTATCATTTTGTTAAATACCTTATTAAACTATATTTTTAATTTTTAAAAAGAATAAGTTTTATAAATAATTAAAAACTACCATATATTATCAAATATAATTTAAATAGTGAACAACTTTCCTATTTAAAATTTTATAAACATGAACATGATTTTTGATACCTCTTCAGATTTTAAAAAAATATGTATATTGATAATGCCTATATAGGTGTTATGTGAAATTTTTGATTAACTCATGCAAGAAGATATAAAAGTGCTCAAAGTGCAAATTTTATCATATATTAAGAAATGCAAGATATCTGGAAATTGTTGAGGTAGTATATCTATTCAAATATTTGGCTAACCTTTTAATTTTTACTAAATAATATCTTCTTAAACTTTTTAATTTAACCCTAATAACTCAAGCCTTTTAATTTTAACCTAATATCAAATTAAAGTTTAATTAGATAAATTTTATTTTTATTTAAACAAATCAATATTTCCAAAACATTTTTTCATAAAAATAATAAAAAAACATGTTCACCTTTTTACTTGATTACCTTATTTTTTCTATGTATAACAAGAAATATACGATTATTATTTTAAACCATTATTTATATTTTCTAAGCAATGCAAAAAATATTGTAAACAGCCATTATTTTATACCCAATTATATTTTTTTCTATCCATTGCAAAAAATAATAGACAACTATTATTTTTAAAATTTATCTCCATATGTAATATTTTATTTTTACAAAAAAAATTATGAGATATAGTGGACTTAAAAATATTCTTAGATAATATGGAATAGTAAATGTATACTGTAACAGAAATATCTTGTGGTTCAAGAGAAGGAACAGCTTTAAATAATGATTTTATTAATGTATTCATGCCTTATATATTTCATCTTATCTGTTGACAGGGCAATGGAGTAGATGTCTAGCATTAGAAAAAACCATTACCCCACATATTCTGAATTTGTAGATATATCAGAAACTAGCCTGTTAGTTATCATATCTGAATTTTATTTGTCCTAAGATATTTATTAAAAATTCTTGGATACACTAACCATTCTTAGCCTGATTTATCCATTATTAGTGAACAAAGATATACGCCATTACTCAAAAGTAGAAAATAATCAGAGTATGGTATGATAGTAACACCCCAATCTATTGTAAACTATATTAGATAAATAATGCTGCTGGATTTATTCAGCTCACAAAGTATGATGTCATAAAGTTTACTATCTTGTTGCATATAAATTTTATATTATAAAATATTTTAATTATTATTTTTTGGTAAAATAAACCTATATAAATAATATTCTAAATATTGCTGGCATAAGGAGATGTTAAAATATCTTTGTCATCATTTATACTCTGTTTTATATCAATTTAATATTTTGCATATACTAAAACTAATTCAGATGCAGCTTATAACTATTAATTCTAGTTTATAGAATATTAATTTAATTAAAATAATCAAACATTATAAAAATTGAAATTTAATTTTAGGTGTGGAGAGGGGGAAATTTATAAATTCTCATAAATAACATTTTAAGCCAATGTAAAATCCCTCCTACACACTCCCAAACACCCCCCCCCCATCCCCCAAAAAAAATATTTTTGCATACAATATAACTATAAACAAGCATTTGAAATAAAAGTTAATAAATTTTTAAAATAATGACTATAATTCAATTTTAGAACTTATTTTTAAAAAAGTGAAAAACCAAAATTATTTATATAAAAATATAATTACCCACTCCATTAAAATTTATGGGGGGGGGGCTAACTATTAATGCCCCCCCCCCAGTAAAATCTTAGCTACGCCTGTATAATTATAAATTATATAATCAGTCAGAATGTATTAAAATTATTTGAAATGGGGAGATATTAAATATTGATAACGATAAAATATTTTTTAATAAATTTAATATTTATAATTTATAAATGGTAATATTTTATTTATATTAAAAAATTGTGATTTAATCAAATTAATTGATTATTGCTAACCCTACAAGGGGTCATTTAAAAGTCAAGTTTTTTGTTTTATTTGATATGGAATGGCCCTTACAAGTATCTTAAAATGTTTTTATTATCATATATTTATATAAATCTATTTATATTTTTTATTTAAGTACAAAGCAAAAGATGAAGTGATTCTTTTTTACAACACTTTAAGCCCTTATCATAATCGTCAAGAAACATATCCTTACTTTGATTTTCCTTTTTGTCATGCCATAAAGACGGACGACGAACATGAACAATATTATGCACAAAGCTTTGCTGAAAAATTGGAGGGCTACGATTTGGAACCAAGTGGAATGCACATTCATTTTACTGGTTTAAATTCTTAGGTTTCCGATTTGATTTTATGTTTATAGAAAATATCCCAACAAAATTGGTATGTCAGATCAAGGATTTAAATGAAAAAGACTATAAACAATTTGTTAAAGCTATATTACAAAATTTTTGGTATCAGATGTACTTGGATGATTTGCCTATTTGGGGTTAAATATTATATATATTATAAGCATTCAAAAAATTAATTAATAGGAATAGTGGGAGAGAAAGATGAATACAGAAATTTTTATTTATGGACTCATAAAAAATTTGACATAGGTTACAATAAAGATAGAATAGTAGATGTTAATTTGACTAGTGAAAATAGGTTTCACATACTTCCCGGCAAAGATATTAATTTTACTTATGAAGTAATTTGAAATTTATCCAATAAATAATCAGGTGCATTTTTTAGGTAAATTGGAAAAAATCGGATATTGAGTTTGAAGATAGATTTACAAAATATCTGGATCATGCATTTTTCCAACATCGTGTGAGTATAGAAACAAACATTTGTATTACGCATTTACTACTATAATTAGTGTTGTTAAACGGCTCGTTTTGAGCCGATTTTTAAAAACGGCTAACTCAACATTATAGCCAGGAAAATATTGACTAAGCTTCGAGATTTCGACGATATATGTCTATACCTTTGTTCTTTCTATAAGCAAAATCTTCAGGCTTGCATAATATTTTTCCTAATAAAATATTGAATTAGCCGTTTTTAAAAATCGGCTCAAAATGAGCCGTTTAACAACACTAACTATAATATATATTTAAATTTGATTTAGCATCGCCACTTTTATAAATTGAAGTGTTGAATTTACAAATTATTTTTTTTTAAAAGAGAGTCTAAATTTATCCTACACATTTTTATAGCACTATATCGAAAAAAATAACATAAAATTTATACTGAATTGTATAGTTTATTAATAAAAATTGTCTAAAAGATACACTGGTTTTCCATATTCAACTCCTTCATGATGGTAGTGTTTCTGGTGGGTTTGGTTAGCATGATACTCATGAGGACCTTGCGGAAGGATTATGCCAGATATAGTAAAGATGACGATTTGGATGATTTAGAAAAGGACTTAGGCGATGAGTATGGTTGGAAGCAAATTCATGGAGACGTGTTCAGATCCGTCAGGCATAACACTCTCTTCTCATCTCTCATTGGATCCGGTTTTCAATTATCTTGTGCCTGTTTTTTTTTGATACTTTTTGCTATCCTTGGCGAACTTTACACTGAGTAAGTTTTTTGTTCAATATACTTGTTAAATTATAACACTTTAATTTATTTTGAAAAAACATTTAAGGCGGGCATCACTGTTAAGTACGGCTATATTCTTGTATTCCATCACATCACCCTTAAATGGCTACGTTGGAACAAGTTTATATACACGATTTGGAGGTATATTATAATCCTAATTGCAGTACATTTCTAATTTTCACAAGGTAAAAAATGGGTTAGGCAAATGATATTTTCGACATTTTTATTTCCTTCTTTAGTGTGTGGGACAGCTTTTTTTATCAATTTTTTTTCTATATATTACCATGCGTCAAAAAGCATTCCATTTGTATCAATGGTAATATTATTTAAAACTATTTTCAATGTTTATACTTACTTTCTAGTTAGCTGTCGCCAGCATATGTATATTTGTCATATTTCCATTGAACATTATTGGAGCAGTTTTAGGGAAAAACATATCTGGTCAGCCACATTATCCTTGTAGAATTAATGCAGTTCCTAGACCCATTCCTGAAAAAAAATGGTTTATATTATTTTATAAACTATTACCTACTTAGATTTAGGTTTATGGAACCTATTTTTGTCATAACCATTGGAGGAATATTACCATTTGGCTCAATATTTATCGAAATGTAATATTAATAAATATATATTATTAAATAATATTCATCTTGACCTAGGTATTTTGTTTTCACCTCATTCTGGGCTTACAAAATTTATTATGTATATGGATTCATGTTGTTGGTTCTATTGATTTTAGCAGTTGTGATAGTATGTGTGACAATAGTATCAACATATTTTTTATTAAATGCAGAAGATTATAGATGGCAATGGACTAGCTTTTTAACTGGTTCTTCCACTGCTGGGTTATATTTTAATACGAAATCTTAATGTTTAATTAGTGTCTTTTAAAAAAAATCACTCATAATTAAAACTAGGTTGAAAAAATCTTAAAAGATTAATAAATAAGAATTTTTTTGGATATCATAATAACTTTTTATATACCCTTAAGGAATTTTGAAAATTCTTATAAGATTGAGAATAAGAATAAATTCCTTTGAATTTTTGATCATTTTTTTGAATGGTTTTTAATTTTCTATATTGAATTTTATTCTATTTTTTTTTGATAATGTCATAAAAAGGTGATAATTACCCTAACCATTAGTAATTTTTCGATGAAAATAAATAAAATGGATATTTTATGTTTTTAATATAATTTCAATATATTAAGAATTAATATAAACATGGTGACAATTGTCATTCCTGATTAATTTTCAATACACTGATATTAAACATAAATAAAATACACATTTTTTTTTGTCGAAAAAAAGGCTATTGTGGCTATTCTCACATTTTCTGTATTAATTTATGTCAAAGCATGTTTTAAATACTTATTTTTACCTCTTTCTATAAAAAAATCATTCGTGAGTATTATATTGAAAATTTTTTACTATCAAAGTCCTTTTTTGATCAAAAATTTAAATACCATAATGTAAATTAACAATTATAATAATTCGATAATTTAAAATTATCTGATAATAGTATATCCGATGAAATGAATTTTTTTTTATATCCTTATAAAAATATATAATTATTAAACAAATTATTAGATATGTGTATTTGTATGCGATTTACTACTACTTTTTTAAAACAAAAATGTATGGCCTATTCCAAACGACGTTTTACTTTTTTTACATGTTTCTATTTTGTGCTGGTCTGGGAATCATGTGTGGTTCCTTCGCTTTCCTGGGGACAACTGCTTTCGTTTACAAAATTTATTCCACTGTCAAAATTGATTGATATTATCAATATGTATTATAAATTCTACTAAATTTTGTACAAAACTTATCCTATATTTTATAAAGTTAAATGGTTTAAATCGACACTTATTAATTTTATATAATATATTTATTCTCCTTTAAATTTATATAAAATGCCTATTGATAAATGTTTAACATGATTATAATGCAATAAGATGCCAATTTATTTTTAACCAAATAGAGGGTATAGAATGGAATTTTAAACTTATATCCAAAAAAATTTACGAAATATTTCTTATATTTGGTGCACTGTGATTTTTCATATTAAATAAATTTTTATCACAAAATTATTTATATTTTATTCATGATCATCAAGGTAGCATTAAATTATGAGTATTATAAATATAGTTCCCAGAAATTATAATTGACTTAGGTATTTATTGTGACTAGAAATATATAATCTAATGTCTATTCACACATATATGAATATTTCCAATTTTTTAATTGAGCGAAATTTTCTTTAATGGATTGAGGAGACGACCATTTTAATAAATAATGAGGACCACCTGCTTTGTCATTCGTACCTATATTTTTAATAAAATATTTTTCAAGCTTTACAAAAATATGATAGGGATAAAATATGTTTTCATATATTTTTTAAATTTTCCTTGGAAGCTAGAATTCTTTTTCTATAATAAAATCGCCTTTCATTAAAAGAAAAATTTCTCAAATTCGAAACGCTTCTCAAAGTATAATTTGGATTGGACGCGCTTCAAGTAGCTATTTGCACTTATATTATGATTTGATTCATTGATTTTTTTAAATACGAATCCTTATCTGTTTGTATTATAAATAATTATTTGTTTATGAATCTTGAGTCTAGGTTAGTATTAGTGGCATTGGAGTAGTTAAGTTAATTATGACAGAAAAATAATTGTATGAATAATGATTTTTTTATTTACGAAAAAGATTGCATTTCTAAATAAGGAGTTACAAAATTAATTTTTTTAAAAAAGGTGGGAAATAACTTATTTTTATTAATGCATAACATTAAAACCAGGGCTGTGAACTCTTCTTCTGAAAAGAGGGTTTGGGTTCTGGTTCAGAGGTATTTCACTAAACCAGAACCCCGTTCAAGTGGGTTCAGGGTTCGTGGTCCAGAAAAATTTAGTAAAAATAAAAGAAATATCAGTATTTTATACATTTTATTTTGCTATATTTAGCCTAACCATAAAAATAATTTGTCATTAATTAGAATATAAGTGAATTATGATATCTTCCAAAATCGAGATGTTAAAATTAAAATATATTTTATGCCTAACTTTGACAGTGCATTGCAACTTATATTTAACCTTTTCGCGCCCAGCAAGATCATTTGTCATCAAAAATTTTAATCAATTATTTTTATATTTTAAAAACTAATCGTTGCTATTTAGACACATGAATTTACAAAACAATATTTATTATTTCGCATTTTATCATTAACCTGTCAAAATCATTATTTTATTATATCAAAATACAAGTTCAAAGTTAGGTATTTTACGCGCCTAAATTTTTACACTACATCGATAACCATTCTATATAAATATATATAAATCAAAGGTATATAATGTTTTTATAATAGATTATTACTAGTATTTCATATTTAGTAAAAAAAAATTATCCCCATAGCTGCTCTTAAAAAAAGTTATTAATCCATCCACCCTCCAACCAGTAGGCCTCTCAAATTAAAACTCCATATGGCATATCTCTCATTCCCTGGACTAATGGTCTCCCCCTAGCTTGGGACTATACCTGTGTCGATTTTGCTGCCAAGTCCAACCTCTCATTTTCTGCCATCGAAAAGGCCGAAATCCTAAAAAAAACAAATATACCGTGTTCCCAATCGTTACCAATACTCTAGGCATGTTCGGAAGTTATGCTCTCAATTTCATCAAAACTATAGGGAAAAAAATGAGGCAGATCTCAGGAGACCCCCAATGAAGGATTTTACTTTCGCCAGCAGATTTCCCTGGAAATCTGCCGGTCCAATTTTTTAAGCATTCACTATTCTCTAGGGTGATTTGTACCCTTTTTTTGAAAAATTTTATTATTTTTTTTAAAATCTTATTTCTCTTTTATACATACATTTTTTTTAATTCATTTTTAATATGTTATTAGTTTTTATATATATATTTTTTTAATTATAATTCGTAAATGAAAAATTTGTTATTTAAATAGTATCTCATAATAGAAAAAAAACAATAACTATTATTTATATGATTTTTTGAGGAAATCCAAATTGGTAACATTGGGATTTTATAATGTAATTTTTTTCATAAATTTTTTAAAATTACATATTGAAAATATGATATGGTAAGAATTGAATATAGGTTATTTTCCATTTATAAGGCCACTATAATAGCAAAAATTTAAGAAAGTGGGAATTTTTTTATAACACTTTTTTTAAAATTTTTATAAATAATTTTTAAATGACCTCAATATATATTTTACCTGAGGGAGATCAATTTAAATATATTAGCCCAAAACCGCATAAATGGGGAATTAAAATTTTCGCTTTATGTGGATAATCTGGAATACTATATGATTTCGAAATATATTTAGGAAAATCCACAAATATAAAAAAAAACTTTGATGGGAATTAGCGGAGATATTGTTATACGACTATTAGAAACTGTTCCCCCACATAGAAATCATAAAATTTACATGGATAACTTTTTTTCTTCATATAATTTAGCAGCTGCGCTCAAAGATAATGGTTTATGGGACCCTTAGATCTAATGATTATCGAAATGCCATCTGGTTGAAGGGTCCCATGATTATAAAGTGGATTCTAATAATATTATAATTTGCAAATGGTTTGATAACAAATCGGTTATCACTATATCATTATTTATGGGTATACATCCCATATCACGAACGAGAAGATGGCCAGTGTCTGATAAATCTTTTATCAATGTCAAAATTCCGGCCATAATTCAAGACTATAACGGTGATATGGGCGGGGTGGATCTCCGTGATATGTTAATTAAACTCTACAGAACTGGAAGCGTTTTTACATGCGAGTTTTCTTTCATTTATTAGATTCCTGTGTAGTGAATTCATGGTTGCTCTATAGACGCCAAATGAAACAGAAAAATAGTAAACATGTATCCCTTTTAGTATTTAAAGCTCAGATAGCTAAAGGATTGATAATGGTTGGAAAGGAAAATGATGGAAAAGAAGGTAGACCTACGTTGAAGATTGAAAAAAAAAGAAGGAAGAATAGTTTTCATCCAATCCCAGATATCAGATTAGATAAAACAGGGCATTGGCCATCAGCGGTTAGTAGACACAGATGCAAGTACTGCAAAAATATACATTCAAGATTTGAATGTATAAAATGTAAAATATCTTTGTTTAAATAAAAATCGCAATTGTTTTATTTCTTATCATTCAAAATAAATTGTATATTTATTTACATATGAATATCCCAATGATGACAATTGGTAACATTTCATAATTCTATATATATATATACACTTTTTTAAATAAAAAAGGTGTTTAACTCAGTTTTAGAAGAAAAAAAAATTTTTTCACGGGAAATATTTCGGGCACGAAAGGGTTAATAAAGTTATTCTACCTTGTGATTATGTTCTTTTCTTTGGTCTTACTCTTAATTTAATAATCCAACAAACAAAAATAAATATTCCTAAATTAAATATTGTAATGTATCTATTTAAAAAGTTACAACATATGCTGGTAAAATTTCTTCATAAAATGTAGTACTCTAAAATAATAAAAAGGATTCCATACAAAATAATTTACCAAAAAAGTTTTTATATTGAAAATAAAAAAAATTAAGTTACATGTTTTTTATTTAATTTTATCTTATTTTTTTAAAAGAAATAAAATTTTAAATAAAGTTATTGTACCCTAAATTTAAAAAGGGTTCGGGTTTAGTAAAATATTCAGCGTTCTAAGGGTTCTGATACACAGCTCTTAATTAAACGTGGATTCTAAACATCCCTAAACCACAATTTAACCTGAAAATTTTTGCCGCCATCCCCTCTAAAAAAAATTTGCTCTCTCCCTGATATTTTATTAGGCAAAAAAAGGATTTAATAATATTTTTCGGGCCAAGGGCTAGACCTATTATATTGATGTTATCACCCTGCAGGACTCCAGGCTCATAACAATGTGCATATTTTGTCAATTTCTAACAATAAATAATGCAGGAGGTAAGAAAAATTATTTTAAAAAAATTGACTATTATAGCCATTAATTTACAATATATTAAAATTAAGAATATGACTAGAAAAATGAAATAACAAAACAGTCATTTTACCCAAAAAATAATAACAATTTAAACAAATTTTCTACTAATTTTATAAATGACATAATTTTTGGTAGATATGATCAACCAAGTGTATAACAATCTTATATAGACAAAATAAATAGTCCTTTATAATAAGTAAGAATCTAAAAAAATTTTGGATATAATGTTTATTTCTATTATTTTATTATTAAAAATTATAGTTTATCAAATTCAAATTAGCAGAATCAGCATATAACAAATAATTATTTATTAAAATCATATGATTGGTACTATAGCTTCTTACATCTCAACCTTCATTTGAATAAAAATGTTAGAGTAGAACTTCGTTATAATGTTCTATTAACTTTTTAATATTATAGTGCTAAATTTTTTCGGTTTTTATCCTTTCATATTATGTGATAGAATTTCTCACTTTTTTAAATTTATTTTTTATAAAAAGGAATTTACTATAAAATAACGATCTAAGTGTTATATAGAAATTTACTATATATATATATATATATATAAATTTAAAAAAAAGAATACCGGAAGCTCTAGCTCCTCCAAAAGGCTGCTGATTAACTATAGATCCAGTGCATTTATCATTAACATAAAAATTGCCGTTTACTTGTCTTAACAGTCTTAAAGCCGACTCTATTATTTTCCTTAAAAATTTATATAAAATGAGTGTTTATAAAAAAAAAATTTAATCTTATAATACTCTAATAAAATAATTAAAATCTGTGCAAACGAGAACAAATCTGCTAGATGATAAACAATAAAAATACTACATTATCTTAACGAATACTGTTATATAAATAAATTCTAGTAAATTTGGTTAATAGTTATTTATCTATTTAATTAAATAAATACAATTTATGTGTTAAGTTGTTTTTTATTATAAGCTTTAATTTGTTCATGCTGTTATTTGATGACCCCATAACAACTGATAGGTATGTAGTTAATAAAATGTTATAATAGGGGTAACGATGATCAAAAATAAACTATCAGATCATAAATAAGATCGCATTAAATAAGATTTTATTTCGATTAGAATATTCGTCGAATATTTTGATTACTAAATTTTTTTGATGACCCCATAACAACTGATAGGTATGTAGTTAATAAAATGTTATAATAGGGGTAACGATGATCAAAAATAAACTATCAGATCATAAATAAGATCGCATTAAATAAGATTTTATTTCGATTAGAATATTCGTCGAATATTTTGATTACTAAATTTTATTAGGATTGATTGCAAATAAATGCTTAATTTTCATTCAGCATCAATTTCAATAATATTTTTGAAATTCGTGAACACAGTATAATGGAGAATAATCAGGCACGTGGCGGTGGGGAAGGGGGGCATAACAAAAACTTTCGAAAAAATATAGGTTTTCATGAATTGTGAATTAATATTCTATATCAAATAGGTTATATTGTATTTTAAATTTTAGCAAAAAATTAAAATTATTTAAATGTTTCTTCATTCCACGAAAATTTAAAGTATATTTTCATACATTTTTTAAAACCTTGATGGAAACAAATAAATTTATTTTATCTCTAATAATGATTAAGCAACATTTCTAGTGTATGCAATGTTCAAATTAGTGATCTGCATCGGGCGTACTTTTTCAAGCCAGGCCCGAAATTTTTTTTAAAAAGGTTTTGCCGGCCCGAACCCGAAATTTTTTCCGAATTTATTTAAATGTAGAAATTAATTTTTATTATTACTCAAAATAAAAGACATATGTTATATGTCGTTTAGTTTCAATAAATAAAATCAAATATTTTTATTTTACATAAAAAATTCAATATAAAATTGATAAATTTAGATATATTTTTAAAAAATTCCAAGGTCCCACTAGGGGTGGGACCAATACCAATATAATATTGGTTTACAATACCAATACCAATATAAATTAATATATATTTAAATATTGGTATTGTACAACCAATACCAATAACCTAAATATATTGGTTTTGATATATTGTTTAAATACAATTTTAACCAATACCAATATTAAAAATAACATAATTATTTGGGTTTATCGTGGATAATTATATCGTGGTATTTTTTTTTACTTTCATTGCAAAAACTGATTACATCTGTTATTTCTTCCAAATACTACTGTGATATCAATATTTCTGTTATTTATAATTATAGTTTATTTTTATTATGGAAGTAAATTTTCTACATGATATCTATCAATTTTCTATTTATTTAGGATATTATAATAAATGAAGACCAAATAGAGTTAATAAATATAGATGCTGTTGGTACTAATAATATAGCGATAATGAACAAGAAGAATTATCAATATCTAATAAAAGACGAAATTCAGCAAAAATCTGGGAATTTTATACTACTTGTGATAATAAAAAAAAGGCAATTTGTAATAAATGTAAAAAAAAAATATCACTTCCCAATTTTGGAACCTCAGAATTATGGACACATCTTAAATCCATCCACCCAACATTATATAAGAAATGTGAGCAAATAAATATTGGCAGTAAAAAAATTAAGACAATAAAATCATTTTTACTTAATAATATAAATAATAAAGCTAATTTAAATAATTTAATAGCATATTGTAACCCTTCACTAACATTAGTTTCTAGAAAAACACTAAAAATAGAAATTATGAAACATTATCATAGATCTTTTATCAATTTAAAATCTGTACTTTCTAACATTACATCTAAATTTTCCTTAACAATGAACGTTTGGTCCTCTCCAAATAAAATACCCTTTATGGGCATAACAATTCATTATATTGATAAAGATTTTAAATTAAATAATCATTTATTAGATTTTATTTTTAATTCTGTATTAAAAGTAAAATTTGAAATTGATTTTTTTTGCATTACATTAGACAATGCAAGTAATAATTTAGCATTTCTAAAAATTTTAAAACAAAAAGATAATTTTGATAATGTGTGCAAATGCTTTTGCACATTTGGCTGTCATGGCTGCATTGGAACCCTTAAATACAACTTTTAAAAAAATAAGAATTTTTTTAAAAATTTTTAAACTTTCTATATCTAAATTAAGGCAGCGAAAGAAGCTGTCTTTAAAATAGCATTAGCATTATTATTATAACTCTCCACATGCTCAAAAATACTGGAATATAAAGGAATAATTGTTGAAATTGTTGAAGTAAATGGTTCCAGAAATTCTCGGTATCCAGGCTAAGGCACTTATATAATTTTCTTGATTGGTTTTGTAAATGATTGGTATATGTTGTCAAATAGGGTTGGAGCAATATTGCTCTTTCAAGCATTTGGTATGTTGAATTCCAACGTGTTGGTATATCCAAAATTGGGTGAGGAAATTTTAAGTGTGGATTTTTTTCAAGATACATTTTTTCGAGTTTAACCCCAAAACTTAATAAATACTATAATTTTAAACCTCTTTATTATTTCAACAATGATTGACCCAAGATTTAAACTATCAAGTCATTTATTAAAGCATAATAATATGGAAACTCTTATTGGATATCTTACTAATGAATACAATATTTATAAAATAAATAATAACAATTCAGCGGAACTTACAAATGAAGCACAAAATAACAAAAAATTGTCCTTCTATGACAAAATTTATCAGGTGAAACCTCATAATAATAATAACTTAGAAATAAGTAAATACGTAGATGAAGCCACAATTTCCAATGATACAAATCCATTAGATAGTTGGAAATTAAATAAAAATAGATATCCAGTATTATCAAAAATTGTCAGAGATTATCTAGCAATTCCGGCCACCTCATCTAGTTCTGAAAGGGCTTTTTCAGAAGGACGGTATGTTATAACAGACCAACGTTGTTCACTAGATGAGCATACTATACAAGCTTGCCTGTGCCTAAAAAGTTGGATGCGCATGCAAGATTCTTCTTAAATACATAAAATTATTTCCTCTTATATTAAAATTATATCATTCTTTTGCATATTTTGTATAAATAGACAGTTATGTTACATTTTTAGTTTACTTATTTTGCTATGTTCTTTGTGATAAATAAAATGGTTCAAAATCAATACGTTTATTATTGTTGATACAAAAAATACATGATTAAATCAAAATTTTTTATATTCACATCACCTAATAAATTCCTAGTTTAAAAAAAGAATTTGAATTCAGTAAAATTTTGAGAGTTGGTTCTTAGCCCTGATTTTATGGTATCATGATTTTTTTTCCCATGTTTATTTAAAATAAGAAATTAAAGGTTTTATAATCACTATTTCTATTCTTTTAATTAGTAATTTGAATTTAAACCAATACCAATATAAACCAATAGTTACCAATATAAACCAATAGTTACCAATATAAATTAATAGTTACCAATATAAACCAATACCAATACAAGAAATAGAAAATATTGTTTAAACCAATACCAATATTTTAGACCCAATACCAATACAATATTTTGTTAATATTGGGTTTTTACTATTGGTTCCCAGCCCTAGGTCCCTCCCGACTCGGTTCGAATTTTTTTTAAAAATTTGAAACCATGAAAAATATGGTTATAAAAAAATTTCAAAATGAGATTACATTTAACAGGTGCTTTTCAATCATAGTTGATGGCACACACGATGTTTCTAAATCAGAAGCAATAGCTTTGATAGTAAGATATGTTGAAAATAGTGAGACGCCGAAGCCTTTTGAAAGACTGATTGACATATATTGTATGAGAAATACCACAGGTCTCGATATAAAGCATAATATAATATCCAAACTTGGCTCGATGAATTTACCCCTTGAATATCTAGTTGGGCAAAGTTATGATGGCGCCTCAAACATGAGTGGAAGAATCAATGGTGTGCAAGCCTTGATTAGAGCAGAGGCGCCAAAGGCAGCTTTTATTTGGTGTTATTGTCATCGATTAAATTTAATCGTTGTTCAATTATGCCAATCAATTAAAGAACTTCGAAATGTTCTAGGAATACTAGATGAGATTTATGTCTATTTTAATGGTGTAAAAAGATATGAGGTACTCAAAAAATTTCAGTGTAATGATCTGAAAAAATCGCAACGATTTCTACGCGTCAAGAATACCACTCGGTAATAGTTCCTTATTTATTTAAATTTTAAATGTTTTTTTTATTTAGAAGCTGGCTATCGTCATATAAAGCTATTGTAAATTTTTTTCAACTTTATGATGCCTTGAGGGCAGCTTTAACAAATTTAAAGGATTCTGAAGATCCTGCCACTTCCACTATGGCTAGTGCTATAGTCTTTAGAATATAAAAATTTGATTTTATCTTATCACTTTGTGTTTTGGATAAAATATTGTTGATAACAAGTTTGGCTTGTACAAAATTGCAAACCATTTCGAAGGATATAGGGTATGCAATAAATCAAATATAATTGACAAAAGATTGCTTGATTAATTTGAGAAGTATAATATAAATTATTGTTTTAATTATTTTTTAATCTAATAGATAATAACACTGAATTTTTGGATGTTTTTTCAAAGGCGCAAGATTTTATGAAGGAGAGAAATCTACATTTTGATTTTGAAAGTTCTAGACTTCAAACATTACAATCCAAAAAGGAGAGGTATATATACTTTCATCATTTAATATAGAAATTTTTTTTAGCTTTAAAATAGATGTGTTTTATGCTGCACTCGATTTAATTATTATGCAGTTTAACGAAAGATTTAATGATGATTCCATGAAATTTTTACATCAAATATCATTTTTTACGCCAAAGGGAATGGCAGAAAATCAATTATTAAAGAAGATATCGAGAATATCTGTGAATTTTACAATTTAAATTCAAGTCAAATTTTCGAAGAAATGTTGAAGTTTAGAAATATTTATAAGATGGCCAAAATGGGGAATGTAATTATTACTCATGGCCTAGAGGTTCAAGAATCTAAAGATTTGTCAGATTCTGAGAATTGTAAATTTATTTAATTAAAATATTTTTACCAATACATTATTTAGCTTCTTCTGATGATGATGATAATTCAGGGACTTACGATTCAGATTGGAAAAACTATTCATTTATTTTACCTTATCGTTTACTTTTAAATTTTTCTGCCTTCCCTAATTTAAGAATTTTATATAAATATTTATTAACCATTCCCACAACCTCATGTACTGCCGAAAGAGTTATGAGTAAAATTAAATTAATTAAAACAAGACTGCGCAGTACCATGAAAGATTCTTTTCTCAATAATTTTACCATATTATCAATGGAAAAAAATTAAATACTGATGAAATTTTAAATTCTTTCGCTTTCTCTTCCCCTAATTTATCTAAATTATTAATTTAAAAATAATATTTATAAAGTTATATTTTTTGCATTTTATTTATATTATATATTAAATATTGATGCAATAAAAATTATTTTTGAAATTTATGGGTGTCATAATTATCATTTTTTCGAAGGGGGGGGGATACTTTTCAAGGGGGTACTTTTCATGGGGGTATTCTGCTTCATTCGCTCAAAAAGTGTAGGGGCCACTGTCTTTATCTAGATATACTTATTATAAAAAGTATATCTATCTCTAGATATTATTTATGAGGTAATGTACCTGTTTTATGATACATTTTGATATACTGTGATCTAACGCTTCTTATTTTAAAAATAAAAATGTTTGAATGCAAAATTCATTTTATCGTATATGAGCATATAACTTAAATAAATATATATTATAAAATATAAGACTAATATAATAATAAAAAAATATATATATACACAAAATATTAAAATTTTTACATAAAATATTAAAACTTATATATAAAAAAATATATAAATATTCATTATTTTCCCCATTTAAATCTATAGATATAAGTTCAAGATGAAGGATATTTTTATTATGTAAATATAAATCCTTGCTTAGCCATGACTCCCATTAATTATTAAAAACTATACCACTGATGCACAAAATTATTTTAACCAAACAAATTTATTTAGAATTGATAATTTATAGATATTCCGTTAACTTTTAATTAACAAATTATAAGTTTAATGTAAAATATATTGTTTTATAATAAATGCTGGTTTTTAATGTCAATTTGTTCAAAAGAACGATAAAAATAGGGGTACTGACATTTTTTTATTAATTTATATATGGAATTCGAATTGAATTAGAACAAAATATTAAAATTTGTTTACGTATTTTGTACTCTCATCAGAGTTTCCGTTCGAGAACAACGGCGAACCCTGTATATAGGTATGAAAAAAATTGTATCGGTATCTAGATATGTTAGTAAGATGATGTATTTATATTTAGATCCATTTAAAAAGTATCTTTTAAGAACTCTGATAAATACACATAATTTTTAATTTTTGCTTAAATATTATAATATTTAAACTCAAATTCCAAATTTTTTTTAGTCGGGTTTGAGTCGAAAAAAATTTGTGCTAGGATTGGACACAAGATTTTTTAAAATTCGGGCTCGGGCAGAGAAAAAATCATTTTGCAGGGCTCTACTTGTATGCCACAAAAATTCTAATTATGATAAATTATTATAATATTGCAAATTAAATTAATATTGTTGCTGTGGATAAATAAGTGGTTGATTTTTATTATGAAAAGATGAATGGTTGCATGGACCACTTAGTCGTTACCTTGGTATTTGCAAATCTTTTATCATGAACAATTAAGAGTTTGTATTGGGTTACAGCTAGGGTGTGACATTGTTACTGCACGCATGTGTTAAATGTAATTTACAAGTAAAAAGAGTAGACACAGTTTCAACAGTCTGTATAGTCAAGGAAGACACCCATTTAGCATAAACTTATAATCATGCTCAAGCCTCTCCTTATATTCCCAACAGAAGAGTCCTCTAACCTATCACAAGAGAATGGTTAGATCAGATAGTCTTACAATCCTATGGGACACACCATAACGTCAAATATTAATGCGAATCCTTTATTATTTTGGTCAAAACCAAAAAAATCAGTAAGTTATCTAAATAATTTTCATTCTTAGTTACTTAAGCCAGTGACCATTTCTCGCGAATAACATTAAATAAAACCTTGGGCAAAATAATAGGCCACTTTCCATGGAGCCAAGGAATTTTTATAAATAAGCTAAAAATTCAAATTTTTATACTTGTGGGCTAAAAATTTAAATTTTTAGATATAATAATTTCTCATAGACGTCGCCTGGAATTTGAAGGGGAGGGGGCACTATTGTGGGGTTTTCCCCATAAATTTTATTTGAAGTCTTTAGGTCAAGTTATTGTAGGCCTTTGGCTATATTGTATTTTTATAATAATAATTTTGGGTTTTCACTTGTTTTTATAAAAATTTTGAATTATTGTTAAAAAGTTATTTACCTTTTACTAATTCTTTTTTATAATGATATATTGTATATATTTACATTTATAGGGAGAGGGGGTGTGTAGGGAATTTTTTTTTTATTAACTTATGATATTTGTAAGAACAGGTAAATTTGCGATTGATAGGATGGGGGGGGGGGGGGTATTTTTTAAATCATAAATAGTTTAAAAATTATAACATACTAAATACATACAGTATAAACAAAATAAATATATTATACTTATCATTGGCGAATATTGATCCTGTCAATCCGTATATTGATTCTTTAATAAGTTGAAATATAGAAGCAAATTCATCATCATTATATGGATATACAGTTAAAATCGGCCCAAATATCTCCTTCACATTAATATGAAAAATGAAATTATTTATAATTTTCAAAAATTTTTAACTCTTCTAAAATTCTACTCTACCTCAATTAAAAATGACACAAACTCCTAGAAAATTCAATTTAATTATTATTAATCGAGAAATTAATAAAATTCGGAATGTAGGTATTTAGGAAAATCATTCTTTTAATAAAAATATCGCTCTGATACCATTCATTGGAGTAATACTTAATATTTCTATTATTCCATCTTTGTTTTAATATTTTTTGGATAAATTTTTTTCCTCATTAAAAATCATTTTAAAACTCATCAATTACATTATTAATAATATATGTTCTAACTTATGTTATGACTAGAGTTGCCAGATCTCTGGCTTTTGGCGTAATTTCCCAATTTTTCACTTTGGTTTACGCCAAAATACGCCTACACTCTCCCGTTTTTCCTAAAAATATTATTCCTATTTTTTACGCTTTCTTCCAATTTTCATAAAAAAATCCGCCGATTTTTTTTATAAATTAAAATATTAGGCTATCATTTTATTTTAATTCAATTATATATTTAAAGGCATCTTGTTTTTGTTTATTTTTTTATACATATTGTGAGAAATGAAAAAACAAAGATTTTAATCTCCAAAACTTTCCAATTCAAAATATAATAGTAATATTTAATATCATTTCATTTTAAAATAAATTAAATTAAATCATATAAAATTTACTTCCTCTAATTCTTATGATGAAATGATTCTTATGTAAATGTGAAGTATAATTTTTAGAAATCAATCTATATAAAATGATATTTTAGAGGTAAGCGATTTATTATTTAAAATTTTAAAAGTTTTATATAGCCTAATAATAATTTTTGATTAATTAAATAATTCTCATAATATTTAATTCCAATTTTATTCCATTAATTTAAAAAATATATAAATAACAGTTTTAAGACAAGTTTAACAACATCCAAAAAAAATGTAAATCGCAATATCAAAATAAGTGGAATCCCATTTATTCATGGATCAGAGAAGATAAAGAATGTAGATTAAATACAATTTGTATAATATGCATTGCAAAATTTAATATCATTCAAGGAAGAATTCATGAGGTAAAAAAAACATTCAACAAGGCATAAACATATTTCCAATTTAAAAATAAGGAATCATCAAATAATATCCAACCATACTTCAAAGACAAAAATTTATGTGATGATAATACTGCAATAGCCGAAACGATATTCATCTATCACACGATAAAAAAATCGCTAGTATTTATCTACAGATTGCACTACAAACTTATTGCCTATACTTCCTTATTAAAAAATAGCCAAACGTATAAAATATAGAAGGTTAAATATCCTAGGTCCTGAAATTAAGAAACACATCTTAGAATATTTTTAAAAAATCATCCATTTTCTTTATTAACGGATGTATCAAATAATGTAAATACTAAATTCCCAGCAATTTTAATAAAGAAAGAGGTGTTTCAAGTAATAAAAAAATTTATCGCTCGGATAAATCGAAGGATATTGCGTCTATGCTTGTGCGGAGCCTTGAAAATTGTAACATGTCACTATCAAATGTAACAGTTTTTTGTGCAGATAACGAGAGTATGAATTTCGGAAAAGGACAAATATTATGACGGAATTATTCGTTTTGAGAAAATATTATCCCAATTGGTTGCCTGTGCCATACAATTCACAATGCATGAAGAAAGGGGCATACTTCATTATCAATAGACATAGAAATAATTGCTGTGAAAGATTACACCAAATTCAGCAGATCCACAAACAGGTTATGGCTTCTCAAGATGTCCCAACTTCTGCTAATTATTCCAGCAATGTGGCTATCATTAATACGGCTTTCGAAAGACTTAATAAAAGTTATTTAGCTGAAAACCCTTATTTTTTATCCCAAAAAATCCTAATTCAAAAATTTTTATTTTTTAAAAAGGGTATTGGCCGAGGCTTATTTAGGCCTAGTTATTACCATAGGGACGACATTAAACAATGTGGTTAAAAAATTGCAATCAAAAAATCAATTGCAGTGAAGATGTTTTCATTAATGAATAAATTAGTTACAACTTTAAAAGCCAAAGTTATCAATAACTTTTATGGCTCGGTTGTAAGACAAAATCTTAAAAAATGTGATGATCATGATAAAATCGCGAACATTGCGCCAAATTTCGAAAAAATATGCAATATTATATTATCGTTACCACATTCAAACGCTGATTCAGAGCATATATTTAGATTAATGAAAAATTTCTGACGGAAAAATAGTAACTTGTATAGATTTTAGAATATGTAATAAAAAAATAAAAATTTAATTTATAACAAGATCTTCTGAAAAATATGCATATCTATTAATTTTATATTAAAAAATAATATACGATCCTGTTGCATTTTAGATATATACATTTATAAAGAATAATCATCGGGGAAAAAATTAATATTATTAATTTCTTTTTTTTTGAATTATGGTCAAACTCCCGCTTTTTGTTTGAATGAATCTGGCAACCCTGGTTATGACACATGTGTTTTTTCATTTTATATAATTATTTTTTTATACCTATTAAGAAATTTCTCATGATTTATTTTTTAAGTTTTCCTAAACACCTACTTTCAAAATTTGCTTTTTTAACTTTTTTCAATTTCTATAAAAAAAGTTTATTAAAAAATACTAATTTAATCATATTTTAAAAGTACCTGTCTTTTCACTCAATTAAATAATTTAAAAAATATATTTTTTTTAATAAGCCTTAAATTTAAAATGTATTTTGTTGGAAAGAACAGAAAAAATAGGGGTGGGGTATTGACATTTTTTAAATAATTTTCTATGTATGATACTCGAATCTAAACGGATAAAATATAAAAAATATTTTTACGTATTTTGTGCTCTCATAATGTGAGTTTTGGTTAAAACAAAGGAAAACCATGTACCTCACATAAATGTAAAGGTTGTCTCAAAATCCAAGTGTAAAAGAAGGAAAAATGAGTTTATCCGTATAGCCTTCAAAAATGGAGAAAACTGATAGACAAAGAAACATTTGAAATAAACTAAAAGGGCAAAAAATAATCTTAGAAAAAATTAACACTCCGCCAGAAAAAAAATCATTACTTTTCTGATGGTTCAGCAAGGTTAATGTTAGATAATGCTAAAGGTAGTGTTGAACCAATCGGTATTTTATTCATTTTTTATATGGATCGAGACTTGGTTATAATAATATTTAAAAAAATATTAAATTCGGAAAGCGTCTGTAACCTAGTGGATAAGAGCGTCGCTCAGATCGGAGAGGGGGATGATATATAGAATATCAGCAGCGATCACGTGATTAAAGCTTATAATATATATAAAAAATATATTATTGCATTTTAAAAAATAATTGGTCGTTGAATGCTATATGCCGATTTGGCAGTATTTAACATTAAATGTTCAGCAGCGCAACATAAAAATAGGAAAAACTTCATCATGTTTGTTACCATGAAATCGATTTTGGTGTTCAAGCAGAATGGCATTTTTTTATACGGCACATGGTAAAGGTGCCTGTGAAAGCATAGAGGGTGCAGTATAAAGGTTAGTTGCCAAGATAAGCTTACAAATACCTTATTCAGATTAAATAATTATTTACAAATTTTATAAATATGCAGAAGAGCATTTATAAGGTATAAATTTTTCTTACAGAAGAGATAAGACTAAGTGAGAGATTTCGTAAATCCATCTCAGTATCTGGCAAAGAAAAAATTCAGGCAATGTTTCTCCGATCGGTTTTCTAAGCTCAATACTAAAATATAATTTCCTCACAGATATTTATTGTGGAGAATATAGTGAATCTCTCTCTTTCATGCTAAAAATAATATTAAAACGATAATGAGCCCACAACGGCGACTTTATCGCTGAGTCAAAAAATTTAATTTAATGAAAACCCGAAAATAGGTTATCATTCATGAATTTTAGTTTACTTTTTATATTTAACAAATTAAAAATAATTTAACGAAAATATAAATCTTATACAAGAAAAATTGATAATCGCAGTTAAATAATCTCATTTCATGTAATACTGAAAAATTTTATTTAGCTTAAAATTGGGAAAAAAATTTAAAATATTTTAACAAAAATGCGTTATTTTTAATAAAAGCGCCATCTATTTTTTTAAATAATTATTATTTCTAAAATCGCAAAAACTAAAAAACCTATAACTATTCCAAGTTTAAATTTTTACAAAATATAATGTAAATGAATAATAAAAACGTAAATAAAAAAGGCACTAATGAGATTTTTAAAAAATCCTTAATATTTACTAGAAGGCCTTTATAAGAGTTATAAAATAATAATTTTTATTTTTGCATCATTATTTTTTTAACTTATCTCAATTTTAAAAAATTATATTTTTCAAAATTTTTGGCATATTTTACCATTTGATATATCAGAAACTATGAGTACCAGAAGGCTATAATTTTGAATTCGATGCCTTCTAATGATGTTCTAACAAAATAAAAATTTTATTAAAATTAAAATTAAAAAGGTCAAGCCGAAAATTTATTGATTTGCCATGGAATTACCCAAATAAAGATTTATACTGTAATTTTCTAAAGGCTCTCGAAAAAAATTAAGTCCTTCTTAAAAAATATCTTCAAAATTTTTAAGATTTTTTTTAATTTCAGAAATTGCTTGTCATGAGAAATTGAAGCTAGTCGTTTTTTGATCAAAAGAAACACTTTAATTTTTTCGCAAAAATAATTGAATTATGCAGGGTTAACAAATACATTTCTCAATCAAATGGTTCATAAAATTTTTAGCAAATGTATTAGTTATTGTAAATAATAAAATGTTTTAATTAAATATAGACCTTTTTCAAGTTTATTACATATTTTTTCAATATAATTTAAAATTAGTATGCCTTAAAGACTGATAAATTTAAATGTGTACCTCCACCATAAGTTTTCCTTTGGGATTTTTTGTTTCAATCATAGTAGGTTCGATAAAATACCCTTTACTAGTACATACAAATAAATTTATCAGATAATTCAATAATAAAAATATGTTTGTTCAATAAAATCTATACCTATCATCGCATTTTCCTCCGGATACTATAGTGTATTCTGATGAATTTCTTGCAAAATCTATGTAACCAGATATTTTATCGAACGCCTTAATAAAAAAATTTATAAAAAGACAGTCACATAAATATTAAAAATCATTTTCCATAAAATACCTTTTTATCAATGACGGCAGAATAAAACATGTTTTTATCGGTGGCCTATAATTTATAAAAAAATAAATTATTATATCAAATAAATATGAATAATAGTAAAAAATAAATCTTTATATCATGAGATTTACCGATATCCAAATATATAAGCAGTTTTTAATTTGGTAGAAAAAAGGTAATATAAATGGAATTTGCATTCGTATTTCTTTCCTAGGTTAGAATCCCATTTTTTCAAAGCCATTTCTATTTACAGATAATCTTGTAAATGATATACTTAAACATGTGTGCCGCTGCACAAATACTGCCGCCGGTGATTTTTGATCCAGCTGACGCCGTTGTCAAAAACAATGTTGGTAATATTATTTAAAACATAATGATTACTAATTTATGAGAGAAAAGTTATATTAAATATATTTTTAAAAAGATGTTTTTATTTATTTTAAAAAATGAATATTTAATCTGTTTAACAGATATAATTATTGCCATTATATATTACCCATAGTAGTTTTATTTTATTAACATATACATATTTACATTTAGAAATTTTTATTCCTATCAATTTTTTTTCGTATTTTATTCTTGAGATTTGTTTTCTATAGTTTTTAATTCCTAAATATTTTCTTCCGACAGTTTTTTGTTCCTTGAACTTTTTTTTAGCTGAGTATTTTTCCCGGGATTCGCAATGTTTTCCTTAGATTATTTATATAAGAAATCGACCAAAGAGCAGGACCGGATTTTTAAAAAAAGTACTTCAAGCAAATTTTGGTTCCACTACTCGAATTATAATAATTATATGAAATTTAAAATAGGTAATTCCTTTTTAAGCAAGGAGATTTGTTTTGTGTGAAATATCAATGTTTATATTTCTTTCTATTTTACAAAATCAAGAAAGCGCAGACCAGCTGGATAACAAAAGAGTACAATTATGTTGATATATAAAAATTGATAAGATAAATTATTATAACAATTTAAATTGAAATAATGGGTATAGGCCATAAATATCAGAAAAACCTAAAAGTATCGGTGACTCTCTAATTAAAAACCATAAGTGTTTACTAATTTTTAAAAGGCAAATAATTAATAGAATATGTTCCTATCAAATAATTAATCTAAATTCTACAATCATAATGATCGTGTCTTCTAAATATTGAAAAAAAAAATTCAAAATAAATGTATAAAATCTAATTGTACTTTGTATTCTGATATTAAATATTTTATATCATATTAAATCTTAGGTAAGATCATGAAGCGATTTAAAAAATAAGGGTAATAAGCATCAGAGATCTGCAAAGTTAGGCCCGGCCCGAGTCCGGGGCCTAATTTTATTTAAAATAATCGGGTTCGGGTCGGGCCTAATATTTAAAAAAAAAATTCGGGCCGGGTCGGGTCGGACTTTGGAAATTTTATTAAATATATCTAAATTTATCAATTTTATATTGAATTTTTTATGTAAAATAAAATTTTTTGATTTAATTTATTGAAACTAAACGCTATATAACATATGTCTTTTATTTTAAGTAATGATAAAAATTAATTTCTATATTTAAATAATTCGGGCCTGGCCGGGCCGGTAAATTTTTTTTAAATAAATTTCGGGTTCGGGCCGGGCCGGCAAGACTTTTAAAAAAAATTTTGGGTTCGGGCCGGCAAAACTTTTTAAAAAAAAAATTCGGGCCGGGCCGGGCTTGAAAAATTAGGCCCGATGCAGATCACTAATAAGCATAGCTGCTTTAAGAAAGTATTCAACCAATTAGTTAACCCTTATTCACAAAAATATAGCTTTTATAATAATAAATGTAAATATAAAATGAACATCTCCGATTTTGATGTCTTGAATTGCTGCCATGAGCTTTGGTTTAACGTAAGAATTCCATTTAGATTTAGGAATGTATAAGATAGAACAAGCCGAACATTTTTGACCTCCATATTCAAACGCAGCTCTAACGGTACTATTTATTACATGATCCATATTCGCTGAAGCATGAACTAAATGGTAATTCTTGCCGCCGCACTCTTATTAAATTAAAAAAGGTAGTAGTGTAAGAAAAATTAAAGAGTGACAAATTTTTTAACGGTTCAGATTTGGTAAATAATAACGGTTCTATTTGAATCCCTGCTTCTTCATCTTGTGAGGGCCTATTTTTATATCTGATTAACAAAAATCGTATGATTTTCAAAGAAACTAGGAAAATTTTATGCCTAAATGAATGGCTATTTTATAAATTTATTTTAAAATTAATTATTTTAATTATAATATATATCTTATGCACGATTATGAATTATCAAAAAAAATTTGAATTGAGTACCAAGTTAAATATAGGAAAAATAAGTTTTTTCTAAATATCGAATTATTCGTTATTCATATTATGAATATTAATATAGGCTTTTGATTCCTACAAAAACGAATATGAAGTATATAAATATTTTATTATTCAATTCGATTTTGTTGAACCCTATTTGGACTTAACCTAATATTTTTACTGTTTTGAAGAAATTAATCATAAAATTCCTCCTCCCGACTATGAAAATAATAGGGGTGGCCGTCTAGATTCATTAACTTAAATATTTTTTTAAGGTCGTGTTCAGTATGAGTTCAAGAAAATAAAGTCACAGGTTCGGTTCGAACCTTTGATTTGGATATTGTAGAAAATGACAAGAATTATTCTTGTAACTGTGGGGTATTAGTAATGCCGTTATTTAATAGGTGGATTCTATTAATAGTAACAGGGATCAACACTTGGCATGCAAGAGTTTCGATAAGAAATACTACTGATGATGTAATGAATCCTTTTCATATATTTGAACAATAAGTAATTGTATATGGTAAATATCAATCTTTTATATAAAATAGTATATTCTTAACATTAATTTAAAGTGGTTAAATTCAATTATTAAATATATTGTATAAAGAACGTAGTTATATTAAATATATCGTATAAAGAACGTAGTTATCAACAAATAATATATAAAACTAATTTGAATATTATAAATAAAGTTAATTTAACGATAATTATTGGTATTATGTAATAATATTACAATTCTGTGCTTGTGTATACATTCTTTTTAATACTAAAAGATAAATTACAATATCTTGTTTTCAAGATTGTTTAGGGAAATATTATATAATTATTTAGGTTGGATCCAAATTGGAGTGCATAGAAAACTATGCTTTATTTATAAAATTAATAAATTATTTTGTTTATTTAAATCTTATGGTTTTAATTTATTTAATTTACCTGAGTAGTGATCTATTTAAATTGTGTGCCTGCTAATTACTTTATTTTTAATAATAACCAAAATCTTGAAATTACCCTGTTTTGGAGCTAAGCTTTAAAAAAAATAGCTTGTAATTGAAATTTTTATCAAAACAAGGGACTATTATATAACATTCAAATAAAAGTATAGAAATTTAAATCGCGTAGACTAAGGCCATACCAAAGCGTACTCGCGCATAATTGTTAAAGAAAGAAAGATAAAATAGATATGCAAATTTGGGGGAAAAAACGGGAAATTTCACAAGTCAATATTGATTTTTTTCCATATTTTTTGAAAATAAATAAACTATTATTATATGATTAAAACAATTATGATATAATTTCAATTATTTAATTCCTTATCTTCGTTTAAAGATGAAAACAATTCCAGATCTCTAAGATATTTGTCATTTGTCTCGTAACATCTAAATCTAGGTATCCAGATAATCGATTTATAAGATAATCCTTTAGCAATTTCATTATCTTTAAAATTATATCTACAATCTTTTCAGTCTAATATACGAGTAATAGAAAAATCTCCTACTTTTTATAAATTGCAGAGTTGTTAAAGTAATGTGCTACAATTTTTTGGTAGCTATAGCTAATAGACGATACTTTTTTGAAATTATTTAATTTTTTAGCGCGCTACTTTTTTTAAAAGTAGCTAAATAGCGCGCTACTTAGCTACTTTTAAAAAATATAATGAAGGTAAGTTTAAACATTAATCATAATTTTTATGATTTATTATTTAATTTTAAATTGAATATATTTACAATTTGTAATTTATAAATCACGTGTTAATAATTTAAAATGTCATCGCCTATGAATCAAATCGTTGAAAGTGATTCAGATAATGATATTAATAAAATGGAAGATACCAGGGAATAAAATGTTCTTAATAGCTATAATACAAATTTCCCATTCCTTAGATTTAAAAAAATTTTAAAATAAATATAAAAACCAAAACTGGCTTCAAATTTATTTGTTTAAAATGTAAAAAAAATATTTCCTCAAATCAATCCAGTAGCTATAACCTCAAGAAACACCTAAAGGTAAATTGCCATTTTTACATTCTAATAGTATTTATTTTATAAGACTGTTCATGCCAATATTTTAAGGAAATAGTGTTGAGAGATTATTTAGTAAGGCAAAACTTATACTTTCTGATCGTCACTCTAGACTTGGGGATGATAATATTGAAATGATTTTATTTTTAAAATGCAACAAATTACCATAAATATTTATTTTTATTACTAAATTTTTTTATAATCAAAACTAACTCTATTTTAATATAAATGTTGATATTTACTATACAATAACATTATAAGAAAAAAATAAAACAAATTTGTTTATAATTTTTTTTTTTAAAGTAGCTAAAAAATAGTAGCTAATAGCGCGCTACTTTTTTTGACAAATAGCGATAGCGGTAGCGCCCTACTTTTAAAAGTAGCGTTTAACAACTCTGATAAATTGTTGGATCTCTATAATTTATCTCTGTAAGATCTCTCTGATATGAATACATGTTTGAGGAACGTCAGATATATTGGATTTACCCATTTCCACTTATTTGTATAGAAATAATTTAGAAAATTTTATAGCTGTGCAAGATCATCTAAAAAAAATTAATTATCAAGAAGATTAAGTCTCTTATCTCTATCAGTAAAAATATGAAGTATTGCCATCGAAAAATATCATTTTTTAACAGGCTATTAATTTCCAAACGATTCATGTCCAATGTATTGGGCTAGGCAACATAAAGGAATCAATCCTATTTTTTTCTTTAAGTGTTGTTTTTCCTTAAATATGGCTATAAGAATGTTGGATTTTATATATTTTATAATACTTGGGGCTTTTGCTACTAAAATTTGAATTGGTAATATTTTATTTGCTAGATCCTTTAAAGTCAAATTAAGTCAATGAGATAAAAATCAATGCACATTCGATGGTTAGATATTTATTTCTAAAAGTGTCGACATAGGCGTAGACAGAATCTTACTAAGAGTGGGAGGGGGCACTATTAGGCGAGTTCCTTCCCCATAAATTTTATTGGAGATCTTCAGGTTTAGTTATTATAGGCCTTTGGCAATATTAGATTTTTATATTTTTTTTATATAAAAATGTTTTTTTCTAATAATTTTGAATTATAGTCTTTATTTAATAGGTTATTAACTTTTGCAAATTTTTCCTTTAATTCTTACTTATTGATATATATAACATTTTTTAGGGAGAGAGTTGGAGGGTTTTTAGGGAAAATTTTTTTATTAGTTTAAAATGATATTTATGAGAACAGGCAAATTTGCGATTGGTTACGCCCAGAGTTGTTAAACGCTACTTTTAAAAATAGCGCGCTACAGCTATCGCTATTTGTTAAAAAAAGTAGCGTACTTTTTATCAAAAAAAATTACAAACAAATTTTTTATTTTTTGCTTATAATGTTATTGTATAGTAAATAAATATATAAAAATCAACATTTATAAATATTAAAATATAGTTAGTTTTGATTATAAAAAAATTTATGTAATAAAAATAAATATTTATGGTAATTTGTTGCATTATAATAATAAAATCATTTCAATATTATCATCCCCAAGTCTAGAGCGACGATCAGAAAGTATAAGTTTTGCCTTATTAAATAATCTCTCGACACTAGCACTTGAGGGTAAGGGCGTATTTAATCTTATATACATATTTTTAATATAAGATAGATTATCAATAAATTTATTTGCAAGTGCATCGTATGTCTGGCATCCTATTATCATTTTGAGGGCTAATGCCACAGATCTTCTTTTTAGAGTTCTAGGGTCAAGCCAATGGCCTGTGATTCCCAAATAAGCTCAAAAATATTTAATCAGATCAATTTATAAATATAAATAAGTTTTTACGTTCTGTTATGTGTTCAACTATCTCCCGTGGTACATATATATGATATCTCTGATAACTCTACCATTAGAGCATCTTTCATCATTTTAAAGTTATCTGCTATTTTATTCATTAGTGTCTGGCGGCATAAAATTGTTGTACCAGGATAAGTTTTAATTATCATGGTAAATGATGGATTATCAACTAAGGACATTGGCTGAACTGTATAAATTATAAAATCAATAACTTTATCAGCCAATTTCATAGAAATATTGTCATTTGCATTATTTATTAATTTGGTTTGAATTGAATTGAATTAGTCATTTTGGATGTAGAGTCGCCTATGCCAAAATTATTTAGATGTTTCTCCATTTCTAAAACTCATGAACAGTCTTATAAAATAAATATTATTAGAATGTAAAAATGACAATTTACCTTTAGGTGTTTCTTGAGGTTATAGCTACTGGATTGATTTGAGGAAATATTTTTTTTTACATTTTAAGCAAATAAATTTGAAACCAGTTTTGGTTACATATTTATTTAAAAAAAATTTCAAATCTAGGGAATGGGAAATTTGCATTATAGTTATTAAGAACATTTTCTTCCCTGGTATCTTCCATTTCATTAATAACATTGTCTGAATCACTTTCAACGATTTGGATATCCATAGGCGATGGCATTTTAAATTATTAACACGAGATTTAGGTTTATAATACAAATGAAAATATATATTACAAATTGAAATTATATTTTAATTTCAAAATTAAATAATAAATCATAAAAATTATAATTAATTATGATATTATATTTAAATTTTCATGTTTACACTTACCTTCATTACATTTTAAAAGTAGCGAAGTAGCGGCTACTTAGCTACTTTCAAAAAAGGTAGCGCGCTAAAAAATTAAATAATTACAAAAAAGGTAGCAGCTATTAGCTATAGCTACCAAAAAAGTTAACGCGCTACTTTAACAACTCTGACGCCCTGCATTATTCGTTATTATAATGTTTTTCCTATTTCTTCAATTACTTTAATAAATTCACTAGATATCTATATATCCCTGTTTCAGTTAATTTATAGAAAATGTGAATTGGGATTGCTATAATAAAATTTTTAATGCATCTCCCTCTTATTTATCAACCCAGCACTAATGAAGGTCAAATTTTTATTTTTATCTAATTTAACAAATTTTTAGTGAGAGGGTAAAATAATTTCTTTAAGTTACGGAAAATCAACAATTTTAAATGGTTAAGAATTAATATCTAGTTTATTTCACTCTTCTGATGATACACTGTCAATAAATTGTTTATCTGAAATTTATATTATTATTTGAACTAAATTTAGATGAGGAAGTTGACCTACTTTATCCTATATATCTTTAACCTTTAATCCTACTCCTTATCCTTACCGCAGTTATTAGATGTTATAATTTCAAATATATTTTAGCAAATTAAAAAATTTTCTTCCGATGAACATTACTTGAGTTGGGCTATTATTATATTATCGAGAATGAACATATATACAAAAACAAAATATAATTATTATTTATGATTAGGGGGGAAAATATTTTTGTAAAATGATAAAAATATGATTATTTGATCAAAAAACCATTATAAGTGTGGAAACTATAGTGAAAATTTTCCGTGTTACATCCCAATTATAAAGTAATTTAAAACTATGTACATATAATTTTTTTTATAATGTCTATGCCTACCTAACGATAATTTCTTAAATGCAGGAACTCTTTGGTATGATGGCCTTATATAAGTAATTTTTCATTTTATATTATATGCTCCAGCTAATTGACTGAGCCGAAATAACCGAGCATGAATTAATATGCGCTTAATTGAAGCCACCAAAATGTAGGTGGGCTGTTTAACAATTTTGGGTTTTTAATAATCTTTACCAATATGTCTTTTAATCTTTTATTTATTATAATTAATCTTATTAAAATCTTGTAATTATACCATAGCCGACTTACTTTTTATCAAAAAGATGTTACATAAAAGAAATGATGATTTGTATCAATTATAACAGTCCCTAATATATTACATTATATTTATTATATAAAAAATTATATATGTAATATCATTCAATAATAAATATAATTCCCAAATTATAACATGTTGAATTATCATGCCAAATTTTAGGCGAATTCACTATATCTTATCTTCTCCTTCATACACTTTTTAATCTTTCGCTTTACTATGTGATATTGAACGAAATTGCCTTCAATATTCATTCAGCCGAATCCTGAACTGCCTTTAAAGGAAAAGTAAATTCTTTATCATTTTGGTGTATTTGCCTTTAAATACTTCAAAAATATAGCTAAGGATTTTAAAAAGTACATATAACAACTGAACAGTTTTCAAATTATAGCCTCTTAGCTCTTGTATTCTTGGAGATATCAAGTCATAGAAAAATGTTAAGCTTATCGATTGAATAAATGTTCTTCTAATATCAAAATAAAGTATATACATTCTATTTTTTAAATGATTTTTTAATGTAACAGTCCATTTATGCCCATTCTAAATTTTAAATCCATGTAAAAAACAGTTTGAAGTGCCCTTCAAAATAAAACATCTTCAAAGAGAAGATTTTTTAAAATGAAGATATTTTTGAGAATCCAAATAGAATTTTTGATCAATAATTACCTAAAATTTTGAAATATTTTTTTATGATTATTATGTATAAAATTTGTTTCCTGATGAAATCACAAATTTAAAAAAATAAAAAAAATTCTTGACAAAAAATCTTAAGATTTTTATTAAAACTCTGGTAAAAAAAAATGAAAAAAATCTTTAAGTTTTCCCGATTATTATAAAATTTTAAAAATGACGTGACTAAAAAATCGATATTATATTGTATTATTTGGGGTTAGGCCCAATAGGTATATATGGCCCTTTCATGATTGTACTTTGAGAATTTTAAAACGAAAATTATTTACCTCCAACTAACCTAGGCCAATTACCGATTGAAATCAAATTTTGAGATATCGATAACCAAATAGAGCGAAACGTGCTTCATTTATATGGATAAAAAAATTATGAGATGTAAAGGAAATGTATTTAATAAAAATAGAAAAAATTATTAAACTCATATAATTTAAGGGTATTTATAGATACAAAATATTTACGCAACACTTCCCGTGAAATTGATTCCAGCGAGGGAGGGTGATTTAGTGATAACACTACTAAAGACTGGACCGTCACAAGGCAAAAAATTAATTACACCACTGGGTAACCCGCATTCTCTAAATATCTTGTACGTCAAATAATTGGATAAAATGGCAGTGTCAGAAGGTTTCCACAAAACCACGTTACCCTTATAATATAAATAAAATAATTTTACTCATATTATAAAAAATAGGATTTTTAATAAATATACTATAAAAACGCACTTGTCCAATTTGTGCGAAGTTAAATTAACCTAATCCCAATTTTATACAGACCAACTTTAGCCGACATCAAGCCCTAACCGCATTTTTAGTTTAAATAAAATAAAATAAAACAATTTATGTTCATATTGAACAAGTACCAACGGGCTGGACCGTGAAATTTTTTTAAATTTTATAACAGACGGGTAATTCGTGCAAAAAAAATTTTCGAGCTAGGCCGGACACACACCAGGCAGGACCTTGCAAATATTAGATTTTTCATTCAATACTAGCCAGCCCGAGTATTAAAATTTTATTATCTTTTTGAATTTCAAGCTGATATTTTGATTAATATTATTTGAAAATAGATTACAATATTCTTATTTCTTTGTATTAAGGCTATCTTACTAAGATACCTTAATATAGTAAATTCACAAAAAAATAAACATTTATTTATAATCATCATTCTAAGTCTTTGGGCTTAGATTAGAATTGGGGGAGGGTTAAAACTTTTTCTGAAAAATATTTAGACAAGGGTATCAAATAAAAGCTAATACATTCATTTTTTGATAGCTATCAAAATTAATCATCACTCTAGGTCCCCGAGTCTAGATCATAGTGGGAAGAGAGGGCTTGTTATAAAACTATCTAGACTAGGATATCAAATGAAAAATCATAAAAAAGTGTAATGAATTCATCGTTACCATTACTCTATGTCTCAAGGATATGTTTGGGCGGGGGGGGGGGGTATTTCTACTTTTTAGATATGGGTACAAATGAAAGCCAACAAAAGGATCTCTTTACATTGTTCCTCATTATGTTTTCAGAGCAGGTCTGGAAAAGAAAGGACAAAATTATAGCATAATATCTCAACATGGTTTTAAATTTCATGGGATATTTTGCTTATTTAGCTCATGGGGGTATAAGAGCCACTGCGACGGTGTAAGTTTAAATAAGGCAAATTTTTATAAATTTTTTTTATTAATATTCTAATTTTTACTGCCGTGAAGTAAATAGGCAACTTTTAAAAATATTTAATAATTATAATTTGTTGTTGCAGTACTAGATCAGCCCCCATTATTATTTATCATAATTGTGGTGACGAGAGATTCGTGGAGGAATACCCTGGGAACTTCTATATGCTGACGACTTTACACTGCTGGCAACAAGTGAAGCATAGTAAAGGAAAAGATATCATATAGAAGACGGTTATAAAATCAAAAGGCTTAAAGGTAAACGAAGGAAAGATTAAGGTGATGATTGGTGTCGAAGGATAGGGAAATAAAGAAGAAGCAAGAACTCGGTCATGTGGCGTGTGTGATAAAAATGTTGCTAGAAATTCAATCCAGTGCACCAGCGGTATGAAATGGGTGCATAAAAGTAGTAGTGAAGGGGAGTTTAACGAAAGCAAGTGTGAACATAATGTTTAGAACATGCGTGAATACGGTTACTGATAATGTAGAAAAGGGTAGTTTAAATATTGGTAATAAAGCTACTTTAGAAAAAGTGGGAAAATCCTGTTATTTGGGTGATAGGTTTAAGGCAAATGGAGGTGTTGATTCAGGCGTTGTTGCAAGGGCAAGATATGCATGGAAAAATTTTCGAGAGATATCTTTTATTCTAACAAAAATAAAATTTATGTGAGCTGTGTGAGAAGCTGTCTACGATAACGTGGTTAATGAAAGCGGCGCATAAAGCTAAACTGAAAAGAACGGAGATGAGAATGTCAGATGGATATAAAGGGTGTCTAAGAGAGAGCAAAACAATCATCGAATTGTGGGAAAGAAATGGTCAGGGACCCGGAGTGAACCGTAACGAACCGTTAAACCATTATAAACAGTTATAAATATCTGAACCATAACAGTAACCGAACCGATATAATTATTTTTTGAAGGAATAAAAAGTACCTTTATAAAAGAAGGTTAAACCGGTTAAGTTTTTATATTTTAGAAATGGAAATAATTTAAATATCCTGAATTATATAAACTTGCTCTTATAGTACTGGCGGTTCCCGCAACACAAGTTTCTGTAGAAAGGGTTTTTTAGGGGCTAAAATTTGTGTTCGTCACAATTAACAAAAAGTAATCCATTTATATTAGAATATATATTACTTATACGTGCAAATAAATATTTAAAAATGAGTTATTTTGAATCTTATATATTTTTTTTATATAATCCATAGATGCTTATAATAAAAATAAATTAGACGATGGTGATGCTTCAATAAAAAAAAATTCAAACCATAATGAACCTTTATAATTAGCTGAACCGAACCTTTATAAATTTTTTCTTTAGAACCGTAACCAAAACGTAACCATTATAATTTTTTACATCCTGAACCTTAACCAACTGATAAATAACAGTTCGGGTCCCTGGAAATGGTATAGAAGTGATTGGAGTTATGATGAGAAGAAATAGACTGAGATAGTTTGGACACAAAAAGAAAGATTAGGTTAAGAGATATATTTCGTTGGATGCAATGGGATCAAGGCCTCGAGAACCAACGAAAACGTAAGTGGAAGAGATAACGAGTGACGTGAAAACAATGGGTCTTACAATTAAAGACGCCCAAGATAGTAAAAAGTAGAGAAAAGGAATTAGAGGGGAAACTGGCTTACCTGAGTAAACTTGTACCGCTAATAAACGATAAAGAAGAAAAATAAACGAAAGTACTATTTTATTTGCAAAACCTTTTAAGACTATTTTTTATTTATTTTAGATTGGTTAGATGTTATAATGGAATAAAAATCGTATTAAGGGACCTAGTGACTCTATTTTTCTTTCTTTATTTGATCAATATTATTTAATATCCGAAAAAAGGTAAAAATGACTTAATGAAAATATAAAGGCTAATGAGCTAAAATTTTAATTTTGTTCTAACCATAACTTACATACAAATTTTTATCAAATATAAAAGGAGGCGGCAGAGAATCTCAGTATGATTCATAAAATAAAATGATAATTAAATATTTTCCTATATCAAAATAAATTGGTTGAATAATGACAAACCATGAGGGCGGTGGAACTTGCTAAATTACCACCTATGGCCGTAAAATTAAAAGGTGATATTGCGGCTATAAAACCTTCTAAAGCTCTGAATCTATAGCTATTGCGGGTTTCAGGAGGACTATAAGGTGTGTATTCTTGTAGTTTCTATTTCATATTTGGGATGTAAAAAAACAAATATTGTTAACATTTTGATTCAAATATGAAATATAAGTAAAAATTATGACAAAGATTAGTTTATGAACTATCACTAAATACAATACAATGGTTTGGTTCAAATCGAATTCCGATTTTTGATATTAGGAGCAATGGATGAAAGAAGCCATATAGGCCATACTGATAGAATCCCTTGTTTCAATTCTATATTGGGTCATTCCATGCCTTCATTAGATTTTTATAAAAACTTGTATACAGACTAAGGTTCATGTATCTATATTTGGGCAAAATTTTAAAATCTTAACTATTATATATTTAGAGATATTTAAGGTAAAAGCATGAAAAATTACCTTTTAGCGAGTGTCTATAATTATTAAATTAAAGATTGTTTAAAAATTATGCAATTACATAACAAATCAGGTATCAAAATGAAGCCTATACTTTTTATTGAAAATAAAAAAACTATCTTAAAGTCACCATAAAGAAAATTGGCCTCAGATATAATTTTAGATAAATATTACTATTACCATTCTATATGAGAATAAAAAAAATGTTACAACTTTATAGGCGAAATCGATTAAATCTCTAAAAATGAAAAATATTCCATTCTATATGAGTTGAGTATAAAAAAATTCAAATGAAGACTTTACTACTTCTTAGGCAAAATTAATAAATACTCGTAAAAAATGATAAATATAATTTAATATTATAGATGACTTTCATTTTAATTAATCTAATTAATAATTTCTATATAATAACTACGACGTTCCTATCCAACAGAAGAACTATTTTTATACTATATGCACCACATTTTATTAAGTATTTATATTATTAAAATTCCATTTTAAAAAAATTGTAATGTTACGCCCAAATTTTTATATTTTTCTGACGGATTGGCTGCCCAGTATAAAAATTGGAAAAACTTTTCAAATATATCATCACTCGGAAGATTTTGGCATCAGTAGAATGGCGTTTTAAGCCATCACACAAACATAACCAATGGATGTGTATTATGCAAAATTTAATATAAGCCATATTGAATTTGAATTCATCATATAAGGTGAGTATGATGCAGGAGAAGTTATTATTAGACAACCCTTTTTGGATCTATCCCAGGAACATAAAAATACATGAAGGAATTCCTCTGAGATTAGAATGTTTTATGTTAAAAATGTATTTGAGTGCGACAGAAACTACAATAAAAATCTTGGTATGGGGATGGAAGTATTATTTATAAATTTGGTGGTTGGCTTTGGTTATGAAAAAGAATGAGAAAACGAAACACCCGCGGCTGTTTAAATCTTTTATCTTTTACAATTTTAGAATATAATTGCATAATATATGATTATTTTTAAAAAAAATTTGCGCTAGCCATGAGCTGCTGATATCAAAATCGGCGGCACGCTGGCGTGATTTTCATAAACGGCGTAACAATATCAGCAGTCGGCTGCACAGGTCTGTAGATAGATAATCAAATTCATTCCATAATTTAAAATATATTTAAAACAAAATTTAGTTAAATATAAATAAATATATATTTTAAGCAAATAAATTTTAAAAAAAAATAGTTTTAATTGTCTCATCCTTATGTAAAGTAAATGTTCGTCCAGTAGCAGTTGAAGGACTGGCCACATCCAAAATTTGTGATTTATGTGTTATGATATCAAGATCAAATGATATAGATTGTGTTTAGCTTGTGTTTGTACATTATATATAATCTGCATATAGAATTTATTTTTGGTTAAAGTTTTTTTTATATTAATTTGATATTTAAAAAGTTTATAATTTTTATGTATAAAAATCAGACGATATTAGTGAATTGATAGGTTTAATTATATATAATGCAATGAAATTATAATTTTTTGTAGAAAAATCAGACGTTATAAAGGAGAAAATCGTATTTTTGTAAAAATCCAGACATGGAAATTAATTGTAATTTTATATATGCAATAAGAAATTATAAATATATAGCGACGAAATATATTTTTGGTAGATATTGATATTCATTTTTAATTTTAATAAAGCAATTCATTCGATATAGTTAATTATTTGTGTAAATAAATTAATTTTCTAACTTAATTAATTTCTAAATTTAATTAGTTTCTCAATTTGATACACATTACTATATTATGTATCCACAATTTGTCAATCAAGGAGAGTTTGGAAATTGAGTTGAGGATGCAAAAAATTAACTAACACCTATTTTTCGAATTTTTTTTCAATTAATTGTCAAAGATACATGTTATATATCCATTTTTCTTCAAATTTTATTTGCTTTAATATTAGAGTGAAATGTTATATTTAATATCCGAGATTCGTTGAGTTTGAATAAAATTTAGCTTCAATTTTATTCTGAGAAATTGGATGAAAAGTATGAAATTTTTACGTTTCTTGTATTGTAAGTGCTTTATTGCATTTTCTCATATTCGTCTTCCATAATATAGGAGAAATCTATTCCTTTTAAATTATATAATTTAAACTTATAAAATATGAAATATTATGGGAAAAAATTTTTTTAATAAAGCCTGTTCTGCTTATTTCGCCCGAAAAAATTTAAAACTCACCCACCGATTCTTTAAAATAATTTGTGAAGATAATTCAGCTGTTTTGTTTTATATTTCATTATTATCATGTTTTGATTACAGTATCTTTCGGCATCACAATGATAAAGAAAAGGAAATTTTAACAAAACTAATACCCGCCCATAATCAAAACTTTTATATAATCGGGCATGAGTTTATATCTATTTATTTTATTTCCCATGAGCGTTTAAGTAAGTGGTTTTGCCTTTTGCGCGCACAAAAATTTTGGATGGGTTTCTCACTTAAGCCCCCCCCCCTATGCGCTCTCTATAAGATATTTCAAACCCTAAACATATATTGTTCTTAAATTAGTCATTTTATCACAATAATTATGAAATATAAAAAATAATAATCTTATATTATTAAATTATTTTTTTGCTATAGTTAACTTACATAAACATCACATAAATTGGAAGATAAATATAATAAATTTGCATACATATTAAAAAAAATATATATCATTTTAAAAAAAAAACAAATACAAATATTAATATTAAAATTATCATTTTATGGGATGAGGCTACACATGAAGCTAAAATAATTAGCCTTGTAAATAGCAATTGCTAGTTTTTTTCCTCGAGAATAAGCCTTTACGAGGTTCATCCTTAAGTTTACGAATGCGAGCACCCAGCTCTTTAAAAAAGGATAAAGAGCGATTCCCAAAGGTTGTTAAGGTAGTGGAAATTATAAGAATCAATATGTAGTCTTGCAAAATTTCTCGAATATTTAACAATTTTTAATTGCACTTTTTAGCAAGGATGTTTGGAGTTTGATTTGAGGAAACCAATGGATCAATGCACTTATAATTCCAGATCTACATTTGCTCCTCCCAAGGAAACTGAGAAATCCCTTCTGGACGTTTCCCATCAGAAAAGACTTTGAAGTTTTAGAATGGACAGAATTTGAACTGAGATGATCGCATTACATAAATTATGTCTAACAACACCATTTTTACAAGATGTCTAACAATATGATTTTTATAAGAACGACAATGAAGGTTATATCTTAAATTTAACAGTAGAACTGCAACAGTGGCAAATGTGGCTATGGTTTATTAAACAGTTTACGCGAATACCAATGGCGTGAGTGAGCCCATTTGGTTTAGTTGTAATTGTATATTAACAGAAGGAATACAAGAGATTATGACCAGATCCATTAAGCAGAAGAAGAGAACAGAATCATGGAGGGTCAGATAATTGCATTCTGGAAAAAGGTGATTAAAAGCAGCTTGTAATTATAGGCTTATCCTGATCCTTCGCCTATTCGTCTGAAAAGGGGTAATCAGCAATAATTCGGGACCTTCCAATCGATAATAGCACCATCAAAGGAAGGACCAGGTCTTAAAAAATGGAAATTTACTATTTTTCATTAATATACAAGTAGGAAAGCAGATAAGGCAAGATCGGAAAAATAACCATTCCTGGTAGATAAAGAAGCTTGAGCCCAAGCGATTTCATTGAGCTTAGGGGGTATGGGATATTTAAAAATAAGAGTCGAGCGTAACGCATATAAGATCCTAGGAATGTTAAAGAAAATTTTTAAGAGAGAAAAGCTTTACGGGAGAGGAGTAGGCAAAACAAATCCGCCAACTCAAAAGTTTCTCAGGAGTGGTATGAAGGAAGAGATCACCGTTACCACCAACAAAGCCTAAATGATTTAGTTCCTGGGTGGTAAGGTATGAAGTAGATTCAATAATTATATTAATAATAACTAGAGTTGAAATATTCCTGGGAATTTTCGGAAATAACTGTCCCATGGGAATTTAACGGTAATTAATGGAAATAAACGTGAATTAACGGAAATTTATGGGAATTCGCGATATAGCTTAAATAACCAACAATTTACCATTTATATTCTAGATTGAGAATTTGAGGAAAATTGCTGTTTATAAAGTATAAGTTATGCCAAATTGATACCAGCATCTTAATTTTTTATTTCCTAACTTATTTCTTGGTTTAGAGTATGTTTCCAAAAAATGGCCATATACGTTCTGATGAAGCATTATGAGGTATTATAAATTCTTTAGGCAATTGTAGGTAATGATTTGGTTGTACACCTTCCGCCATGTTATTAAAGTAAGATATCTCATTCCACCCTAAATTCTAGAATTTCTATAAACCATCTTTAGCTAGATATTCACTTAAATTTCCTATAATCAAATCAGCATTTAATTTTTAAAAATCAGAAAAGGACTTTATTATTGAGATCACACGACCATTCTCAATCCCCCAAATCTAGTATGCAATGATTTGCAGAAAAATGGATTTCTTTGCAACATATTCTTTTCTCCTTAAAATAAATGTTTTTATTCTTAACTGTATATTGCATATTATTATTATTAACAATTTTAATATTAAGCAATCAAACTTCAAAAAGTAATACTTTGTCACATATGTAAGTAGTAATATTTCAGCATTTAGTCCAATAATTTCAAATATCATCTTTATTTTCACCAAAAAATTATTATCCAGAATTTGGGTTTAAGGATTCTATCATTAATATTATAGATTGCCATTTCTTGATTCTGTAACTCTACCTACCAAGAAGAGTTTAACTCTGTTAGCGGCTTCTCGGTAAACTCTTTATCCTTATTATTGCATTATCCTGTTGGATTTAGCAAAGTGTTAATTACCGTGTTTCTCTTTTAGTTTTGTCAAATTAAAATAATTCTCCTTAATTTCTTTTATTAACGTTTTATCCTTTCTATCTATTTTATTCAATGAATCTAGAGCCACTATAATATTAATAAATTTAGCCCATGTGCAGCACACTCAATTCATTGCAAATGGAAATAGGTTTACTTAGTTTAATTATTTCCAAAAATATTTAAAAAATTTGAAATTTTGGAACTTTTTTTTCCCATTCAATAAATTCCCAGGAAATATTCACGGGAATTCCCCAAAATTCCCAGGTTTAATAACCCTAATAATAAATGTCTTAATTTTTTTTATATTACACATTTGTTGCTTAACATGTTTTGTGCTTTTAATTTATTTTTTAAAGTTATATGCCTATAATTATTATCATTTTACCATCTGGTAACTGTAAGCATTTTATTTCCATTCTATTTAAATTCTTTTGATATTGTAGGATTTATTATAATAAAACAGATTAGAAAAATACAACATTTTGCATATTGTTTTATATAAGATTTTTTTTACATTTGTGTATTCTAGAAAACCCAGTTACGAAATGGTAACATATTTTTCCCAAAATAATAGCTGGTTCAAATTTCTTTTTTAATTTTCTTAAAGAAATCAAGAAATAAATTAAACGGTGACCAGGGTCGAATAACCCACTCAATCTTTATAATAATTTTCTAGGACATATATTCAAAAATAATCCCATTTATATTTTTCTCTATATTGTCATAATTTCTATGGTGGCAATGTATATCTGGCCTCTACTTGGTCTTAGACATAGTCTTTTTGCAGTACCGCCAACTCCATCAAATCTACTTTTCTCATGTGTGGTGATGGAATGTCATTAGGCGAGTACACCAAAATCCAATTAATCACGGCACTAGTTAATAATGTTTCTATCTTGTGCCACGAAATCGTTGGAAAAATATATATTTTGATTGAATAGAGCAATATAATTATTAAACTGAGCTTGGAAATTAATTTAATTAAGATAAATTTGATAAAAAATTATCAATTATATTGATCATACATGTTTCTAAAATCGAAAACAATATAAATATAAAATTGTTATATTTAAAAAATTAAGATATTAAACACAAATTTTTTATTAAATTTATCCCTAAATTAATTTTAAGCTTAATTTTAAAAAAAAGTGTAAATAATCTTCAGCCTCTTTGTTTAATGGGCATTTCCCAACCCCGAATAGGCCTCGTTTCTCGTTTTCTCCTTTTTCTTCATTTAAAGTGATCCTGATCATCAAATCAAATCGAGAATTTTCATGTTATCTATTACTTTCATTCAGTTTGTAGATGAATTAGGTTCCTGGTCTTTCTTTTCTCCTTAGGTGGATGCGCCTGCAAGGTACTTCGAGCTGTTCCACCTCCATATTTTCTTCTACTGTTCATCAGAGAAGGTAGTGGGGCAGGTTTTGAAACCAGATATTCCGACATCACCTCTTTCTTTAACACTTACAACCTGTAGAGGAAACGATGATAGCATTATATCCCAGATTAGAAGGAACCTTTTAACTACCATTAGCTGTCTGAGAGTATTGCTGCTTTCTTGCCAAGTTAAAGCAGGACTTATCCATATTATAATATCAAAATAGGACGAGATAATAAAACCCTTACTGATAATAGTATATTATTTTTTTTTATCTCAAATAAAGTTTGCCAGCATCTGTTTCAAAAAACCGACAAAATGATGTAAGGAATGACCTAAATATAATTTAAGAGAAATCTTTTAAATTATATAAAATATATTTTAAAAAATATATAACAAACATTATATATAAGCCAAATTATAAAATACACCACCTCGTGAGGAGAATTTTATACCCACTAAAAAAATAGTTTTAAAAAAATATCTTTTAGAAAATTTTTTGCCCAAAATTTTGAGCAAAAAATCAAGATTAAAATTTCTTTTTTTTTAAATTTGTTATTACATCATGAAAGATTTTTAATGAATAAAAATCACAAAAGACTTGCCTATAAAAGATTTTTCTATAAAAAAAATTTGGAATTTTAGATAACATTTAATCAAAAAACTTTTTTGAGCATTCACAAAAATCTTTTTAAAAAATCTTCTGAGATAAATCTCTTTTAAGATCCATTATTTTGAGCATTTCAAACTCTGAAATGAACTTTGTGAGTTTATTAAGGAAGTAATAAGATTCCCAATCCGATTTTTAATATAAAGGATAGTTATTTATTTCAATATAAAATTTCATTTGAAAAAAAAAATCATTTTTTAAATCTTATGGTACAAATAAATACTCAGAAATTATTTTATAAAAATTATTTTTTTTCACAGAATACATATCTGGACTGCATTTTCGCAAGATTTGTTATTTGCAATCAAGTAATTTTTACATAAATAAAATAATCTAGCTCAATAACAGTAAAAATAAGATTTCCAAATTTGACCTCTATAGTGAAAGAATGATTGAAATTAAAATTGTTATATGACCCAGTTTTTATCCCCTATAGCTTGACTATTAGGTCTTTAGAATTATGAAAATGGCTCCAACTCCATAAGGTAAATTAAAACTGATCACTTTTAATATGTAAAGTGTCAATAGAGAACTCTTTCATAAAATTTTACTTACAAAAGAAACTCTGGTAAAAATGTTAAAAAAATTGTTTTTTCCAAATCTATTTATATCTCTGAATAAAATATTTATTTAAAGATTCTTGTTACTATGGATATATATATGTGTAGAGAAATCTGTAGAATCATTAAAATATTCTTCATTAGTTTAAATAAATATTATCATATTTAATTTTGCTTTTATAATTAGATAAATAAATCTGCTTTGAAAATGAAAATGAAAATAAAATAGAAAAATTTAATATAATAAATATTATAAACTTTTCCAAAATAAGCATTAAAGCGTAAAAAGTCGGCTAATTCGCAGGCAGTATCTATTTCAGCTTGTACTACAGTTTTAGCCTTAAAATATAAATATTCACAAATTAATTTACATTTATGTATCATAAAATATAAGTGTTATTAAAATTTATGAACACGTTTAATATTAATTAATGAAAAATAAATGTTTCCCTATCCGCCAAATATAGATAACCGTTGCCATTATCAAGAGAATGAAAATGTGATTCATTTTTTAAAAAAAATAGTGTTAAAAATCTAAATTTGACGTGATTTCAAAAGAATCCATATCCGTAATGATATACGAAAAATAAAAACCTGCAAAATCTATTTTTTTGGATAGGAACCCACTTTCAGTTGGCCGAATTTTTAAAAAAGTTTATAAGATATCTCAAACTTAAAATATTTATATTCTCCATTTTAATGTTGTGCAAAAAATTTGAATATTTGCTATAACTTTTGGTAAGCGGAAAATAATTCTCAGGAAAAAAACTCCCCAATAATAATTCCTAGATATAATTCCTCGGAATTGATTTTCTTAAAATTTTTAAATATTTTGAGGATTTTTATTTAGCGGATATATTTACAGGGAATTTTTCTTCTATTTTATTAACTTTGTAATTTTTAATATCTTAATAAACGGAAATTTTTTCTTCCGAGGAATTATTTTCCTAGATTCATAACTTTGATAATTTGATGTTTAACTATTATTTCATTCTATTTTTTTTACAAATTATGATGTGAAAATTAATATGAAATTTTTCATATTCAATTATTAAAAAAGGAAGAATATGAATGAAATATAAGATTAATATTTTTTGGTTTATGAGGTGCCTATATTTTTAATGATGTTAGATTCAGGGCCGGTCATGACTAAGGAAGAAAATTTATGATTTTGTTAATACTAGAATTGAGTTTGATTGTACAGCTTATTATTATTTTATTGAATGCTTTAAAAAATGATTTTTCGGTATTGATTACAAATTTGTAACCCAATTTTTTTATTACAGAAAATTGGCCACTATCACTTTACCAAATTTCTAGGTGAAGATGCTAGATTGTGAAATGAAAATTGTCAGGTCAATATTGGTTGATAAATTAACAGGTAGGCAAATAAAACAAGATATTGAAAATTATGAAATAAATAAGTTCTCAGAAAGTTATCTACTTTGGAGAGGGAATTAAATTTTTCAAAATAAAATAGGAGTTAAATTACTAATATTTAGTATTCATAATTTTAAGAAAAGAGATCATAATTAATGTTTTTTTAATATTGAATTATATTTATATCTAGGAAAAAGAGTATTAGAATATAAAATTGTTGTAAAAACATTTATTATTCTTTATCAATGTTGTTTTTAACTTTTGATTTTAAGTTTTATGATTAGATAAAATATTAAATCCCATTTATAAATAAAAATGAATTATTTGTGAGGTGGGGGAGGGGAGAGGGGTCAATGACCTCGCACAGCAGTGACAAGAGAATCTTAACATAATTATAAACAAAATTTAATGTTAATGACATAAAAATATAATACACAAGGCCTTAAGTTTAATGATTTTATAATAAAATTTAAGATAACACCATAATATTGTAAATATAATATCTTTTAATGGCATGTTTACAATTGTATAAATTTTCTGGTGAATTCCATGACAAATCACAAAAACACGATTTTCAATCCGACCCCCTTTAATTTTTTTTCAAACTTTTACTACTCTTTATATATTATAACTAAGAAAAAAATAAAATTTTATCCTTCAATTCCTAATTCTTACAGCGGATGAGATATGGGTCTCAAAAATCGAAAAAATAAAGCATTTTAAATAATCCCTTCATTAGAATTCTTTATATTTAATTGAGATAGAATCGCCATTTAAATTTCTTTATATATCTTAAAAATAGGTTTTTAAAGTGATATAATGTTTTTTAGATGTAAAAAACTGAAAATATCTAAAAATCAAATCGGCATTTTTTGTTATATATAGCTATAGAATTAATTTATTCTTATACAAATTTTCGTTGAGCCGAAAACAGCTTCAGGAGATATAGCATTTTAATCAGGGGTTCGAATCGTTAAGTATATCGATTCGGTTCGTTCCGGTTTATAGTTTAAAATTTTATAAAAATCTTCCCCGGGTGTTTTTTAAAGAAATTCATATCGATTGGCTCCGGTTTCAAATTTATAACGGTTTATCCGGTTCATTCCGGTTTTTTATAAATTTGATTTTAAAAAAAAATTAATCACATAATAATTAAAATGCTATTACTTTTAACATAATGTAAGACCATTTATTATAAAGCACAAGATAAATAAAAGTATAAAAATAATATAATGCAATTTTAGTTAAATATTTTAAATTGAAGTTTATAGTAAGATTATATTATTTTAAGATTAAAGAAACAAAAAAACAGATTGAGAAAAATATTGGAATTGTATTTTCCCTAAATTAAAAGCAACTATTATTGTAAAAATAATTAATAAATAATTTATATAAGAATAAACTCGTTAATTTAGTCAAAAATAGTTTTATGTGATAACTGTTTTAAGATTATTTCTTATCTAATTAATTAGTAATTTTCCTAATCTCTATTAAATTGAGTATATAAAGTAAAAACAATAAGCTTGGTATTTTGATATGAAGATAAAGGCGATTTGATTGTATAAAAAATTTTTAATTTGAAAGGAAATCACGAATTTATTTGCCCCCATAATTTTAAATTTCAGTTAATAATTTAAAATTAATTTTTTTAAAAACCGTGAACTGGTGACCGGTTTACATCAGTTCAAAAATATTTATAACAGTTAGATTTGCTCTTTTTATATTTTTATATTTCTTTATAACGATTCGTTCCGATTTTGCGGTTCAGTTCGAAACCCTTATTTTAATATTAGTCAATTGCAAAATTTCTTATTAAATATTTGATATTAATCAATAATTTTAAATATAAGTCAAAAACTATCAAATCTTTTTAGAATTTAAAAGAATAGATATTTAAGAACTGAAAAATTATTTTGGATAAGAGGGGGGGGGGCTTTGATTAATTTATTTGATGAATTGAAATTTCTCTTCTCATAATAATAACTACAAAATACCAGTTGTTAAAAGATACATTTTAAATGGATCTAGATACATTGTCTAATATGTATCTCGATAAAGATATATTAATATTCTATTGCTAAAATTAAAATTTTGAATGAGCTAAAAAAAAAAATTTATAAAATTAAAATGATTGTAAGATTTTTAAAAACTGATGTTGACTTGCAAAATATTTCAAGAGTAGTGATCAAATATAACCATTGCTTGAAGATTATATAATCAATAACATTTTTTTATTTTAGATTGAGGATGGGGAAAAATTTACATTATCTAAATTAACAATAAGGAATTGCAAAATTACAGAGCTCGTGATATGATCTTAATAATCTTGAATGAGGAATATATTATTGTGTGTATGTTAATTGAGAAGGTCTTCTGCCTATCAATATCAATTTAAAATTTTGATAAATAGTAATGATGGGTTTCTGGTCCTCCAGATAAGACATAACTTTTTGGTTTAAAATAAGCAAATTTAAAGTTCATTTTATATCACCATGATTTAATTCCTTAAGATAGCATAAAATGGGTTTTTCTTCAATACACAATTCTCTCCTATACTTTATTGATATATAAGGGTTTTTAACATTCATTATATGAGTTTTAATCAGGTTTAAAATAAGCAAATTTAAAGTTCATTTTTATATCACCATGATTTAATTCCTTAAGATAGCATAAAATGGGTTTTTCTTCAATACAATTCTCTCCTAAACTTTATTGATATATAAGGGTTTTTAACATTCTTTATATGAGTTTTAATCAGGGAATTATAAATCTGGTTTTATAATAATTGGATTAGATAAAATACATTTTCCTTGACCAATTTCTTTAAAATCTTCTTGTATTTAGAGTCCAAGAATTGATAAAACCATCAAAATCTAATTTTGTTTCAAGAATGTGTTTTTTCAAATTAATTTTTCATGGGCTTAATGATTTCACATTGGTAGTTAATATAATATTAATTATCTTATAAAGAAATTTTCAAAATATCTCTCTTAATTTTTACCAGATTAACAATTATTTTTAAATAGAATTTTCTTTTTTGTTTATGCATTTCTTTTTAAATGGTGTCTCACCCATTAATAAAAGTGTCATTTAAATGTTTAAGGAGAGCATCATTATATTCCATGAAATGTGATATTGATTGAAGCATGTAATTTTTTATGGTAGGTATGGCAAATTTTATCCTTAGCTTTTAATAATTTCAGGTCAATCATCTAATGGAATTTCTTAGGCCTTCATGCCTTGAATGCTAAATTGAATGAATTATAATGTATAAACAATTGTTGAAAAAATTAAATTTTAGGAATGAATTCAATATATTACGTAAATTATCAATAGCCTCCTCTCCTCCCTGCTTTTTCCATATCTTTTTAAACACATAAAATATTAAATTTAGATTAAATATTATAATTAATGATTTATATAATATTAAAAGAATTTATAAAGAACCTTTATAATTGACTAATGATTAAAAGCTATATCTCATAAAGCTGGGCTCAGCCAGTTTAAAAATAACTACATATAAAAAAAATTGGAAAAAAAAATGATGATTTGATTTTATGATTATTTCCAGTTTTTAACATTTTAAATGTTTTAACATTATGTCTCTTTAAAGGCCTTATTATAATAAATTATTCTAACTTAATTATTTCCAAAAGTATATAAAATTAAAAAGAATGAACGTTGTCTAAAATGTCCCATTTTTTAATTAATATACTTGTCCAATCATAGTAGCAGCCATTAAATTCATACGTTCACGATTGCTTACTAAATCAGCAGCTTTTAGAAAAATCTGTGCTCTCTTTTCATAAGGTTGGTTATCCCATTCTTCTTGAGCATTTAAGCTAACATTTATTGCTTTTTTAATTAGTTCCTATAGTATATTAAATTAATTTTTTTAAATCATAGTATATAACTGGGGATGCATAGTAAAATTTTGCTAATTTATGTTTGTGGTTGTATGGCTAATTTTATTAATTATATTTCTATTGTATAAATATTTTTTACAATCAATTGATATTTTATATCGTCTGTTCTATATTCCTGATCTCCAATGATAATAGGGATGTCAAATACCTGATCTTTATAAACAGATAATGCCTTTAATAATTTTTCACTTTCCCAAGAACCATGTTCATAATTAAGAATAGGCTCATTTTTAGGTATTAAATTATCTAAAACATATGTTGATAATTTCCTATAAAGGAACAATGCAACAATTATAAATAATTATAATAATTTTACCTGAGTTTCTGTTGGCTTACAACCTTAAGATATTTTTGAAAAAACATGCCAAATAATTTATTTGTCTGCATATAATCGTATAACATTTGTTAGTAAAAAGTTCTACCATTTTCTGATTGGTCCATATTTATAATCCTTAATTATATCTTAATCAATGATTTATACATAGATCATTGATCTTAATTGATCACAACAGCAATGATGATGACGTACTAGTCACAGTGGGTAACCAAATAGTGGGGGAGGGGTAAAAAAATCAGATAACTCAAAAATCTTTTAAAAGGCCTTCACTATCAAGTAATTAAGTATTTTAGTCTATGAGAAGAGCCTATTCATAGGCCTAGTCAGGAGAGAGGATGATGGGGGGAGGGTAATGGAAAATCTCTTTCTCAGAAGTTTATTTAATAAATATTATTTTAGCCAAATTCAACTTTGCATACCCCCCCCCCCTGTCTTCTCCCAAACCCAAAATTCGTAGCCACAAAGCAATGGCAGGTAGACGAGACCCTCAAAATTTTAGTTCCTAAACCTATCCCCTCTATAAAAATCTTTGACTTCATAAATTGCCCCGAAAATAAATTCTGGCCCCCAATTTAAAAAAAATATTATTGAATTTTAATTCAAATATGAGATGCGTTGGCGCTTTTAGATATTTCAGCAGACATCAATAAATAGTTCCTTTAAACTGATAGTAGTTTGAACAACAGTTATTTCTCTCCCATTACATTCTTATTTTTAAAATATTTATCCAAAAAAATATATAAAATATTTTCCAGGAACCAAAGAATTTATGGGGGTGGGGGCAGGTTCAATTTTTTTGAGAGGAGGGGGTGCAGTAAATTTTTTCTAAATAAAGCTAGAATCGGACGTTTCAGTTCCCGTAAAGATTTTTCTTAACCTTTTCCTAACATGGTAAGTCACTCGATGCTAGTGAGATTTAATTAATTAAACAATTAAGATAAATTATAATGTTGCAAGCTATTATCTGCTTATCATGCAGTGATATTTAAACGAGTATTTTACCAATACATGTCAACTATTTAATATTGTAAAATAACTGAAAGAGGACGAATATTCTTAC